GGCACGCAGAGGAGCAGTAGACGGACACAGAGACATCCGGTGCGTGCCAGGGACAGGAGGAGGACGCTGACGCGAACGACGACCACTAGTGCGCGCAGTACGAACAGGCGACGCAGGACGAGACGCAGGCTCACGACGCTCAGTAAGACCTCCAGTCGGACCAGCGTAGGGAGAAGGAGCAGGCAAAGGTGAGGTAGGCTGTAGCTGTGACTGTGACGAGACAGGCTGTGGACCCTCTAAGGGAGGAGGAGGAGGACCAGGAGAAGGTGTAAGACCAAGAACCTGCTGCAGGAGCGGAACGAAGTACGGCCGGGGCCGCGCGGCGACGCCAGAAACAGCAGGGACAGCACCAGTACCCCCAGAAGGAGTACCCGCTCCAGCAGCACCTCCAGTAGCTCCAGAACCTCCAGCAGCACCACCAGGAGCACCACCAGTCGGACCTCCAGCGGCAGTCTCATCGTCAACACCCTCAGCAGCACCAGCTCCAGGAGAACCCTCAGACCCAGCAGCTCCAGCACCCACAGTACGAGCACCGCCGGGACGCTCGGCAGCAGTACCCTCTGCAGTCGAAGAACCTCCAGCACCAGCAGCACGCCTCCAGCGCCTGGCAAACCACTCGCGCAGCTCCTGAGGGGAGAGTGGCTCTCGGCAAGACGTAGCACCTCCAGGTGGAGCACCCCCAGTCTCAGCACCTCCAGGCTCAGCACTCCCAGGCTCAGTACCCCCAGGCTCAGTTCCCCCAGGCACAGCACCCCCAGGCTCAGCACCTCCAGGCTCAGCACCCCCAGGCTCAGCACCCCCAGGCTCAGCACCCCCAGGCTCAGCACCTCCAGACTCCGCACCCCCAGGCTCAGTACCCGCAGGCGTAGCACCTCCAGTCTCAGCACCCCCAGGCTCAGCTCCCGCAGCAGCACCAGAGTCAACAGTGACCTCGACAGGCTCGACCGCGTCTACCTGGGACACACCTGAAGGAGCAGGACCCTGAGGGGGGAGGGGGTCTACCGGGGGGGGACCTGGTACCAAGAAGAGCGGGGGCGGGGGGAGGGACGGAGTGCGGTAGGGGAAGAGGCGGTAGTAGGGTACCGACTCGTCGAACGTGACGTCCTGGGAGGACAGAACATGTCGAGAGGTGGGGTGGTAGAACTGCCACCCAGGGGCGTCGGGGGGGAATCCCAGGAAGACGCAGGGAGCAGCACGAGGGGACAGCTTGTCCGCAGACAAGTCGCGGACAAACGCCCGAGATCCCCAGACCCGGAACGCCGACGCATCGCCAACCTTCCCCGTCCACAGAAGGGCTAGGGAGGTCTCCGGCCTAGAGACCCTGGGGTGGAGGTTGATCTGATGCGCCGCGTACCTGACCGCAAACGGCCACAGAAAATGGGGGGCAGCCGCATGCATCATAGACGTACGAGCGACGTCCATGACCATGCCAATGCGGCGCTCTGCAATCCCATTTTGCTGCGGTGAGTCCGGAAGCGTGAAGGTCTGGCGGATGCCTTGCGCACGACAGAAGGCACGCAGAAGGCCAGAGGAGAACTCTCCGCCTCTGTCCGAGTGCAGACGCAACACAGGAAAGTCCGAGCCAAAGCTCTGCCTGAGCTCGAGACGAGCTGCGCGGATCTAGTCGATCAGCACCTCAGTGACATCACCCTTGCTGCGCAAGGGGAAGACTGTGGTGTAACGCGAGAAGTCGTCAACCAACAACAGGAAGTAGCACTCGTGACCGAGTCCACGGACGCGGGCAGGGCCCCACACGTCCATGTGAAGCGTCTGCAACGGAGCCTCTGTCGGAGGAAACTGGGAGGAGTGAGGGGCAGCACGCTAGCGCCCCTCGACGCAGGGGACACAGGCAGGGCCAGGGCCCTGAGGAAGGGGAAGGAGGGACCGGGGGAGACCAGACACAAGAAGACGGGAGGCCATGCCTCTGAGCCGAAGCAGAGAGGGGTGGCCAAGGCGGTGGTGCCAGAGGAGAGTCTCGTGAGACAGACGGCGACACGAACAGGGGGCAGACTCAGGACCAGACCTGGACACTGCAGCAAACACCTGACCAGACGAAGGGAATCTACCAGACTCAGCACCGAGAGGAGAAGCAGTGGTCAGTGTGTACAGGCTCGACCCTGGCTGACGTGTAAACGTAGCTAGGTGGCGACCTGTGCTAGCCTCTGTGCAGTGTGTCACCCGCTGACGAGTAGGAGTGAACTGGTGGACACCCCCATCCTGTAGGTCAGCACCACTCACCAGGTTCGTAGAGAACGAGGGGAGGTAGAGACCAGTCAGGGTGCCAGAGGGAGCCGCCGGACACGGGAGGACTGTGGAGAAACGAGACAGGACAGGACCCCCAGAGGGGTCACCCAGGGACACCGCAACCGGCCGACTAAGCGGCGTGAGAGTGGTGCGGTCCCGAAAGAAGGAGCGAGACGCCCCAGAGTCAAGGGTGAAGGTGAGGGAGGCCGAAGCCGACGTAGTACCTGAGAGCGCAGACTCACCAGTACCTGAGGACGCAGACACACTAGCACCTAGAGCAGCAGCGTCGCAAGCACCTAGGGCAGCAGCCGCACCAGTACCTAGAGCAACAGACTCAATGCCCGGATCGGGCGGGAAACACCGGTAACAGTCACCCTCATCACTACCAGACACAGCATACATGGCAGCAAGAATAGCATCAAAGTCAAGATCAAAGATAGCTACACCAGCCCTAGAAAGCTCTCCCCAGCGGGGGATCTCAGAGGCCTCCGGAAACTGCTGGCGCCAAGCGTCGGTCAAGCGGGCAAAGCAGCGGCGGGCGGTGTGGGTGCCCCCACACTGCTCACTCGCACGGTCGCCGGTGCGAAGGACGTAGGTGCAGGGACCGAACGCCCCACCACGCTGACGCTGGGAGTACCACTCACGGAGCTGCTGAGGGGTGGGGACGTCGCGAGAGCGCTGCTGCTGCTGCTGCTGCTGCTGGCGCTGACTACCTCCAGTGGTGCTCCGCTGGGACGAGCCACTTCGACCACCTCCACCACCGCCACCCCCGCCTCCGCCGCCACCGCCGCCACCGCCACCCTCACCCCCGCCGCTCCCACCGCCACCACCACCACCACCACCTCCGCCTCCACCGCCGCCACTAGTACCTCCACTCCCGCCACCACCTCCACTACCACCCCCACTCCCTCCGCCGCCTCCACCGCCTCCGCCACCGCCCCCGCTAGTTCCACCCGCTCCCTTGCCCCCCTTGCCTCTGCCAGGGCGGCGCCTACCGCTGGGGGCAGACGCCGCACCGACCGACTCCAAACCAACGAGGTCGGCCGCAGCAGCAGAGGCGACAGAGGGAAGTAGGGGGGAAGGAGAACACCCCTCAAAGATGGGGGTGCGAGGGTCACCACGAGAGGCCCCTACAGCGACGACACTCTTTTCAGCCGCTAGCAGGGACTTCTCAAGGAGGTCGACAGTGAGGGTGGTGGGACAGACAGAGAGAAACTGGTCCCTAACGGCACGAAGACTCAGGGAGACGGGTGACTAGAAAGTAGAGAGTGATGTACATGGGAGGAGGGTTTGCGGCGCGGAACTCAGCAGGAAGCGCAGCGCGGTAGCGAGTGTCACTAGCGCGGAGGTGGGTAAAGAGGTCAGCGACTGTGGGAAAGGCAGCGAGGTCAGGGAAGAGGAACGGTAGCATGAGGCGGCTCAGCGTAGCGGAGGAAGGGGAGGAGTAGCGCGCAACTACAGCGTCGTACAAGGCCTGAGCGGTCTTGCACTGACTAAAGTGTGCACGCTCGGAGGAAGGGAGGTGGCGACGCACAGCAAGACGTGCAGCAGCATCGCGCGTGGCCCACTTGGAGCGAACAGAGGGGTCAGCATCAGCAGGAGGGGCAGGGACAGCGCCAGAGACAAAGTCAAAGAGAGAAACCTCATCGATCGAATCGCACAGTAAGTACAGCTGCAGGTCCTCGACCCAGACTGCAAAGTCAATGGCGCGACCCTCAGCGTCAAAAGACAGGACACTGGGGGTGGCCATTATAGCAGCTGACAGTCTCACCGGGCCGGAAGAGTTGGGTAGCTCAGGAGTACAGCCACACAGCAGCTACGGCGGCCCAGGAGCAGCAGCAGCCCCACAGGAACAGGAGGCCGACACCTCAGGCTGCTCGGGCGGCTCGGGCGGCTCGGGCGACTCGGGCGGCTCGGGCGGCTCGGGCGGCTCGGGCGGCTCGCGCGGCGCGGGCGTCTTGCGGGCGACAGTACGGGCGGCTGGGGCGGCTCGCGAGTGGCTCACGGGCGGCTGGGGCGGCTCGCGGGCGGCGCACGGGCGGCTTACGAGCGGCTGGGGCGGCTGCACGGGCGGCTCGAGGGCGGCGTCGGCTGCTCACGGGCGGCGTCGGCGGCGACGGCGGCGTCAGCGGCTCACAGGCGGCGTCGGCGGCGTTGGCGGCTCACGGGTGATGTCGGCGGCGACGGAGGTGCACGGGCGGCGTCGGCGGCGTCGGCGGCGTCGGCGTCGTGGGCGGCTCACGGGCGGGTGGCTCACGGGCGGGCGGCTCACGGGCGAGCGGCTCACGGGCGGCGGCTCACGGGCGGCGACTCACGGGCGGCGGCGTCACGGGCGGCGGCGCACCAGCGGCGGTTGACGGGCGGCTGCGCTGACGGGCGACGCTCACGGGCGGCGCTCACGGGCGGCGCTCACGGGCGGCGCTCACGGGCGGCGGCGCACGGGCGGCAGCGCACGGACAGGCCGCGGGCGGCGAACGGGCGCTAGGGCGGGCGCCGGGCGCTAGGGCGCTAGGGCAGGCGCTAGGGCGGGCGCTAAGGCGGCCGCTAGGGCGGGCGCTAGGGCGCTAGGGCGGGCGCTAGGGTAGGCGCTAGGGCGCAAGGCGCTAGGGCAGGAAAAAAAAATTCTAAGTGGTGGGCCCTAAGCACAGTTCCCACAGGGGAACCTGCTCTGATTCCATGAGAAGAAGCGAACGAGGATGAATGAACTATGAATGAAGTGAGTACAAATATGAAACCCTAATTGGGTTGTACCCCCTATGGGATACCCCACTCTAGCCTACACAAATAAGTAAGCTATAATGTTCTGACATCGTTTCCCCTCTCGCCGCCCTCATTTCCCCTCTCGTCGCCCACATTTCCCTTCCCATCGCCCTCATTTCCCCTCTCATCGCCCACATTTCCCTTCCCGTCGCCCTCATTTCCCCTCTCGTCGCCCTCGTTTCCCTCCCCGTCGCCCAGATTTCGCTACCTGTCGCTCACAATTCCCTTCATCCTCCCTTCCTCTCATCCGCCCTTCCTCTCGTCCGCCCTTCTCTCACATCCTCTCTCCCTCTCTCCGCCCCTCCTATCGTCCTCATTTCCACTCGTCCTCCCTACCCTTCTTTCGCCACACGCCCTCATCCGCCCTCCCCCTCATCCGCCCTTCCCCTCGTCCGCCCTCCCTCTCATCCACCCTTCTTCTCGTCCTCCCTCCTCCTCATCCGCCCTCCCCCTCAACCGCCCTTCATCTCATCCTCCCTTCTCTCATCCAACCTTCCTCTCATCCCCCCTTCCTCTCATCCTCCTTTCCTCTCATCCTCCTTTCCTCTCATCCGCCCTTCCTCTCATCCACCCTTCCTCTCATCCGCCCTTCACGCTCTCATCCTCTCTCCTTCTCATCGTCTCTCCCTCTCACCCTCCTTACCCTCGTCCACCCTTCTTCGCGTCCTCCCTCCCCCTCATCCGCCCTTCATCTCATCCTCCATTCCCCTCATCCGCCCTTCATCTCATCCTCCCTTCCCCACATCCGCCCTTCATCTCATCCTCTGTTCCCCTCGTCCTCCCCTCCTCTCATCCTCCTTTCCTCTCATCCTCCTTTCCTGTCATCCTCCCATCCCCACATCCGCCCTTCCTCTCATCCGCCCTTCTCTTTCCTCCTCTCTCCTTCTCATTCTCCCATTCTCTCATACTCCCTTTCTCTCATCCTCCCTTCCTCTCCCCTGCCATTCCACTCGTCCCCCCTTCCTCTCATCCAACCTTTCCTCCCATCCTCCTTTCCTCTCATCCGCCCTTCCTCTCATCCGCCCTTCACGCTCTCATCCTCCCTCCTCCTCATCGTCTCTCCCTCTCATCCTCCTTTCTCTCATCCACCCTTCTTCAGATCCTCCCTCCATCTCATCCGCCACCCCCCTCATCCGCCCTTCATCTCATCCCCCCTTCCCCACAACCGCCCTTCATCTCATCCTCTGTTCCCCTCGTCCTCCCTTCCTCTCATCCCCCCCTCCTCTCATCCTCCTTTCCTCTCATCCACCCTTCCTCTCATCCGCCCTTCCTCTCATCCGCCCTTCTCTTTCATCCTCTCTCCTTCTCATTCTCCCTTTCTCTCATACTCCCTTTCTCTCACGCTCCCTTCCGCTCCCCTTCCATTCCTCTCATCCCCCCTTCCTCTCATCCTCCTTTCCTCTCATCCTCCTTTCCTCTCATCCGCCCTTCCTCTCATCCGCCCTTCACGCTCTCATCCTCTCTCCTTCTCATCGTCTGTCCCTCTCATCCTCCTTTCTCTCATCCACCCTTCTTCTCGTCCTCCCTCCCCATCATCCGCCCTCCCCCACAACCGCCCTTCATCTCATCCTCTGTTCCCCTCGTCCTCCCTTCCTCTCATCCCCCCCTCCTCTCATCATCCTTTCCTCTCATCCTCCTTTCCTCTCATCCACCCTTCCTCTCATCCACCCTTCCTCTCATCCGCCCTTCCTCCCATCCGCCCTTCCTCTCATCCGCCCTTCTCTCTCATCCGCCCTTCTTCTCATTCTCCCTTTCTCTCATCCTCCCTTCCTCTCCTCTTCCATTCCTCTCATCCCCCCTTCCTCTCGTCCTCCTTCCCTCTCATCCTTCCTTCCTCTCCTCCTCCCTTCCCTCTCATCCCCCCTTCCTCTCATCCTCCTTTCCTCTCATCCTCCTTTCCTCTCATGTGGCCGTGTTGTGGGGGTCATAGAAAGTAACCGCATGTTGTCTCCGTTCTTTTCGTGTTTCCATAGACTGATTTAATCTCCGTGAATGTGATACTAGGTGACATGGCACCCTAAACACGCGGAGATTGAGACCGATTCTGGAGACCCATACGATGGTTCCGGTATGTAACCTATTTCGCCATTTACCCTAGACCAACCTTCCCACAATCCCATTGGTTGTAATGTAACCTCCACTCAATCCCCTCCACGACTCTTGTCACGCGGGTTCGCTTATTTCCACTGCATGGTTTCTGATTTCCTGCACATAACAACTCTCCTCCCTCCCACCTTTCGGTGTAACGTGGTGAAAGTGGTGGTGGTGGCCGAGAGGTTGTGGTGGTGGTGGTGGTGGTAGTGGTGGTGGGGGTGGTGGTGGTGGTGGGGGTGGTGGTGGTGGTGGTGGTGGTGGTGGTGGTGGTGGTGGTGGTGGTGGTGGTGGTGGTGGTGGTGGTGGTGGTGGTGGTGGTGGTGGTGGTGGTGGTGGTGGTGGTGGTGGTGGTGGTGGTGGTGGTGGTGGTGGGGGTGGTGGGGGTGGTGGTGGGAGGTGCAAGAAGATCAAGCAGCTGGAGATTGAGGCCACAGTGGCCGTGTTCTAAGCATCCGCCTACGGCAACACCACTGCTCTCGCTCAGTCCATCTGGTACCACGTCCCCCTTCACTTTTGGACTAAGCTGAGCAGGTTATTCCTGCCCCCCCTCTCCTCAATTTCATCAGGTAACGCATCACTTCTGCCCTTCTCCCCCAACTAGTTCCACTTGCCAGGGGTTGCTGCGAGCAGGCGTTGTGAAACACCCAAGAGACTTAATCCTTCAGCCCGGTCACCCAAAACGTTACCCTCCCCCACCCCCGTCTCCCCTCTCACCCATTCCCTCACCCCCTTTTTCCCCTCCCACCCCCTCATCCGCCCCATCCCCTTCGCCTTGTCCAGCTCCCAATACTAGTTCAGTCCTGTTCCCCTCCCTTGCCTGTCCCATCCTCTCTCCTGTCCCACCTTCCTATCCCCCCCTGCATGTCAGCCAACGGAGAGCATGCTGCATATCTGTGAAGAGAGTGGCCAAGACCTCACACGGGAGGTGAGTCATTGCACTGTCTGCTCTGCATTGCTCATGCTGTCCGTAGTGCACGTTCCGCTCGCCGTGGCTGCTCTGTCCGCACCACATGCACTACACTGAGACACACTCCCAAGTGTACTGTCTGGCCTGATACATGCACTCGGCACCACTTTTTGCAAACTTGTTTCCGTAGTACCTGTCTCCACCTCTCTCCACCTGTCTCGACCCTCCCGCCTCTCTCTGTGCTCAGATCCGCAAGGGCAAGGGCAAGCAGCGTTGGACATCAGCCAAGTCACCATCAGCCGCATTCATCACTGCACCTACACGTGTTCACGTGCAACTCTAAGCGTGTGCTTGCCTCGCACTAATCCCGTGCACGTGAGGATGTCGTTTTTTCACAAGTAGTGTAGGCAAATGACGCAACACGCTCCCCCATGGCTAGAAGCTGAGAAGTGAAACATGTCCTCCCCCATCAAATAACATATTTGACTGCACACATAGGGCTTCTTCATTTATCTATCCATCATAGCTGGATGGTCATCCATCCACATATCAAACTATTGCAGACTGTGTAAAAAGAGTAACACATGTACACAATAAATCGTACCCGATAACCATCCCTCCCTCCTTAACAATCAGTCAATTCCAGACTCCTGCGTGGCCACATTGACAATTGACCTAGCATCGTTTGACCTCATCACAAAATCAATCTCGTCAGGGATGCTCCATTCCAGGTTGAACCAGTCCACATCGCCTTGACTACATTTTCTGTAACCCATGCCCGTTGGCTCGGGGTAAAGCGAGCCGATCACGACGTGGATTAGCCATGGCAAAGTCACTTGTGCAAATGGATGATTACCTAACAAGGCAGAGTATTGAATGTAGCAACGAAAACGATGGTTCTTTGGCCCCATAGGTTGACCTTGAGAATCCTCTTCCGTGTTTTTCCCCAAACACACCCTCAGAATGCTCGCCACACTAATTCTCTGACTCCCGGGGCCCTCCTCATCCGACAATCTGAGCCAATGTCGTGCCCAAGCGTCAAGCACACGATGCTGCTTGGCATATCGCCCCTCAAACTCAGATATGGACCACCGTTCTTTCGCATGTTGAACCTGCGGGGGCAAGCCCGTTGGCTGCACAACTCTTCGAGCTCGAACCCTGCGAAAGGGACGTGTTGTGCTCGCAGCAACCGAACGAGTATGGGCTGAAAGGGTGCCCGTACTTGCCGTGAACATCGACTCCGGTCCACGTCGCCGACCCCTCTCCTCCTCATCATCCTCGGAACCCTCCTCCCCAACCCTGAATCCAAGCGTCAGCCGTCTCCGAGGAGTGCGTCTCCATGAAGACATGGCTGATGAGGTGGACTGGTTTAGAGGGTGAGAAAAGGAAACATCAGATAGAAAACAAGAAGGGAGAGGGAGGGGTTAGGGAGTGAATGGGTTGGGGGGGGGGGGAGAACTATCGGATTACGCAGGTCATTGAATTGAGTTGGCTGTGAAGGGGAGGGTGGGCAGTTCAGGAACTAAACAACAGGTCCGGAAGCACCCAACCTGTCAGAGTGGAGCACGGGAGGTGTGGAGAGAGGAGCACCCCACCTGTCAGAGTGGAGCAAGGGAGGTGAGGAGAGAGGAGCACCCCACCTGTCAGAGTGGAGCACGGGAGGTGAGGAGAGAGGAGCACCCCACCTATCAGAATGGAGCACGGGAGGTGAGGAGAGAGGAGCACCCCACCTGTCAGAGTGGAGCAAGGGAGGTGAGGAGAGAGGAGCACCCTGCCCTGTCAGAGTGGAGCACGGGAGGTGAGGAGAGAGGAGCACCCTGCCCTGTCAGAGTGGAGCACGGGAGGTGAGGAGAGAGGAGCACCCTGCCCTGTCAGAGTGGAGCACAGGAGGTGAGGAGAGAGGAGCACCCTGCCCTGTCAGAGTGGAGCACGGGAGGTGAGGAGAGAGGAGCACCCTGCCCTGTCAGAGTGGAGCACGGGAGGTGAGGAGAGAGGAGCACCCTGCCCTGTCAGAGTGGAGCACGGGAGGTGAGGAGAGAGGAGCACCCCACCTGTCAGAGTGGAGCACGGGAGGTGAGGAGAGAGGAGCACCCTGCCCTGTCAGAGTGGAGCACGGGAGGTGAGGAGAGAGGAGCACCCTGCCCTGTCAGAGTGGAGCACGGGAGGTGAGGAGAGAGGAGCACCCTGCCCTGTCAGAGTGGAGCACGGGAGGTGAGGAGAGAGGAGCACCCTGCCCTGTCAGAGTGGAGCACGGGAGGGGAGGAGAGAGGAGCACCCCACCTGTCAGAGCAAAACCCGGGATGTGAGGAGAGAGGAGCACCCTGCCCTGTCAGAGTGGAGCACGGGAGGGGAGGAGAGAGGAGCACCCCACCTGTCAGAGCAAAACCCGGGAGGTGAGGAGAGAGGAGCACCCCACCTGTCAGAGTGGAGCACGGGAGGTGAGGAGAGAGGAGCACGCAAGGTGAGGAGAGAGGAACACGCATGGTGAGGAGAGAGGAGCACGCAAGGTGAGGAGAGAGGAGGACGCAAGGTGAGGAGAGAGAGGCACACGCGGGGAGGAGAGAGGACGCAAGGCGAGGAGAGAGGAGCACGCAAGCTGAGGAGAGAGGAGCACGCAAGGGGAGGAGAGAGGAGCACGCATGTTGAGGAGAGAGGAGCACGCAAGGTGAGGAGAGAGGAGGACGCAAGGTGAGGAGAGAGGGGCACGCAAGGTGAGGAGAGAAGAGCACGCAAGGTGAGAAGTGAGGAGCATGCAAGGTGAGGATAGAGAAGGACGCAAGGTGAGAAGAGAGTAGGACGCAGGGTGAGGAGAGTGGAGCACGCAAGGGGAGGAGAGAGGAGCACGCAAGGTGAGGAGAGAGGAGGACGCAAGGTGAAAAGAGAGGGGCACGCGCGGGGAGGCCAGAGGAGCACGCAAGGTGAGGAGAGAGGAGCACGCAAGGTGAGGAGAGAGGCAGTCGCAAGGTGAGGAGAGAGGAGGACACAAGGTGAGGAGAGAAGAGCACGCAAGGTGAGGTGTGAGGAGCACGCAAGGTGAGGATAGAGGAGGACGCAAGGTGAGAAGCGAGAAGCACGCAAGGTGAGGATAGAGGAGGACGCAAGGTGAGAAGCGAGGAGCACGCAAGGTGAGGAGAGAGGAGCACGCAAAGTAAGGAGAGAGGAGGACGCAAGGTGAGGAGAGAGGAGGACGCAAGGTGAGGAGAGAAGAGCACGCAAGGTGAGGAGAGAGGAGCACGCGCGGGGAGGCGAGAGGAGCACGTAGGGTGAGGAGAGAGGAGCACGCATGGGAAGGCGAGAGAAGCAAGCAACGTGAGGAGAGAGGAGCACGCGCGGGGAGGCGATAGATTACGCAAGGCATGGAGAGAGGCGCACGCGCACGGTGGCGCGGTCACCCCGAAAGATGAGGAGAGAGGAGCACACGCGGGGAGGCGAGTGGAGCACGCAAGGTGAGGCGAGAGGAGGATGCGCGGGGAGGCAAGAGCCGCACGCGCGGGGGGGGTCGAGGAGCATGCGAGGGGAGGCGAGAGGAGCACGCGCGGGGAGGCGAGAGAAGCACGCGTGGGGCAGGCGAGAGGAGGACACGCGACGAGGTGAGAGGAGGCCGCGCGGGGAGGCAAGAGATTCGCGCGCTATGAAGGCGAGAGGAGCACGCGAGGGGAGGCGAGAGGACCACGCGCGGGATGGTGAGAGGAGGCCGCGCGGGGAGGCAAGAAAAGTGCGCGCGGGGAGGCGAGAAGAGTGCGCGCGGGGTGGCGAGAGGATGCCGCGCGGGCTTACCAGAAAGGAGCGCGCGCAGGGAGGAGACACGTGGGGGTGTGCACGGGCTTTCCGAGTGAGAAAACGTGTCAGGATAGAGTGGTGGAGACACGACTACGTCGAAAGTGGGTGGTGGCGGAGTGGTTCGCGAAGCAATGCCAGGGGGCACGGCGACGACAATGAGGAAGCGATGGGAGTGGATAGGGGTAAGGGCGATGGGAGGGCAATGGCAACGGGGACCACGGGGGAAGCGAGGTTGACGGTGTGTGGAGGGGGAGGACGATGTGAGGGGATAGCGAGGTTCACATTTTGAGACGGAAAGGAGCGACGTCTCGTAATATGCGCTTCAAGCCTTTCACGCTTGGGCCGTCGCAATAACAACTCTCGCGGAGCAACGGGGTTGAAGGTAGGAATTTGCTACGGGCAAAAGCTTAGAGTCTCGAGTAGTAGCCGCACAGCCTTTCCTGAATTACCATTTTCAAGCAAACTGTGCACAGGCAGTTCCCTTCTTCCTTGGGCAAAGGGTGGTTGGGACTGTCGCCAAGTAGACGCGTTCTGATATACGACGCAGTCCTTATGGGATGCGACGCCTGTCTGGTAACCATCCTGGCTCGGGAGGTCAACTTTGGGCTCGGAAGGCAAACTGTGCACAGTTTGCCTTTTTTAGTTTGTAATTCAGGTCTTGGGCTTTAAGGGTGCTACCGATCAGGCACATTGTTATGAGTTGTAAAAGAGAGTGCGCAGGTAAACGAATAACGAAGCTGTGACTGAATCAACTGCGAATACAATGAATGCACAGACTAATGTAGGACTACTCTAGCTAGGAGGAAACCTCGGACGAGCGAGGTTGGGTGCAGGTTTGGCGATGGGAAAGCCGAAGGCGACGTGAGGAGCCTCGGCAGCGTTGAAATCGGCCGAACGTGCGAACTCCGAAAATCGGGTTGTACGCGAAGCAGTCAACCCCGATAAGGAATTCGGGAAAATTCCTTACACCACCCCCCCCCTTAAGAAAGGTAGTCAATAGCCGAAACACGCCGTCGCGCCAGATAATCACCAACAAGCGTCGAGGCGTCCAGTGAAGCGGATGGCACCCACATGTCGTCCTCACTGGTGCGGTCGGTCCAGCGAATTAAGAAATCCACGTGGCGTCCAGCGGCGTCAAGGCGGACCCGATGAGCGAGAATCTTGGAAGGGTCAAGGGTTGGCTCCGGGACGGGGCGAGCTGTCGGGGCCGCTTGCTGACGTGCGATGTCGGTCGTGGTAGGCACGAACTTCCGAAGAAGGCTGATGTGGAACGCGTCATGTATATGCCAATCGTCGGGTAGCAACAGCTTCGCGGTGACAGGTGTCACCATCTTGAGAATTTTGAACGCTCCGCAAAATCGTGGCCGAAGTTTCGCAGGGCCGGGCAGGTTCAGGTTTTTCGTCTCGAGGAGGACTAGTTGCCCAGTAGTCAAGACGGGTTCCCGGCGAAGAAGGTTGGTGTATTTGCGGGAAGTAATATTCGCTTTGCGAATTGCGTCGGAGGCTTTTTTGCGGACTTCCTGGAGTTCCGTCACGAAAGTCTGGGAACACGGGACCGGATTGGCGAGTGTTGTCGTCGGAACCGCCGGGTCCATCCCATAATTCAGGAAAAATGGGGAGTGATTAGTCGTGCTGGATGGTGCGTTGTTGAAAGTGAATTCCAGCATTGCGAGCGAGTCTTCCCAGCGGGCAGGATCGGGGCAGTTTGTCCTGATTAACTGCTCCATGGTCTGGTTGGTCCGCTCTGTTCGACCGTCGGTCTGCGGGTGGTAAGCCGATGAGAACTGTAGCTTCGTGCCGTATTGCGCCCATGTCTCCTTCCAGAATTTGGATGTGAATTTTGGGTCGCGGTCGCTGATGATCGCTGAAGGGATGCCGTGCAGTCGCACGACCGTCGATATGAAAAGTCGCGCAGTTTCTTCGGCTGTGATTGTCGTCCGGCATGGTGCGAAGTGCGCCATTTTCGTGAGGCGGTCGACGACGACGACGAGAACAGCGTCGTTGCCTGTCGGCCCAGTTGGCATCCCCGTGACAAAATCCATCGTCACTTGTTGCCACAGTCGTTCGAGTGGCTCGAGGGGTTGCAGCAATCCAGCTGGTCGCTGACGTGTCGACTTCATTGCTTGGCACACCCTGCATGAGGACACATAGCGCTGCACGTCGTTAGAGGAATCAGGCCAGTAATAGTGACGGTGCAGTAGTTTGTGTGTCTTATCGACCCCGAAATGTCCGGAGAGGTTTGAATAGTGTATCTCCTGGATGAGGAGCTCACGCAGCAGACGGTAAGCGGGAACCCAAATCCGGTCGGTTCCGGCTTTTAGGTAATAGTCCCCTTTCTGCGTCGTAGCCTGCTGATGGTTTCCCGTTGTGAAGAAGGGGTCTGTCGTGTAGCCGTGGGTGAATAGTCCGGTAAGTAGCGGGTTTGAGTGGGTGATGAGTACTGTAGCGGATTGTACTGTCGGTCGGGTCAGGGCGTCGGCGATGTTATTAGCCCCTTTTTTGTACGTGATGCGATAGGTGAAATGGCTCTCCATGTAGTCGAGCCATCGAATTTGTCGTGGGTTGAGGTTGGGTTGGGCTCGCAGGTACTGTAGGGATTTGTGGTCCGTGCGAACAGTGACGTCGGCGCCCACCAGGTAGCATCGCCATAGTTTAAATGTGTGTATGATGGCGAGCATCTCCTTGTCGTGGATCGGGTAGTTGCGTTCGGCTGCCTGTAGCTTGCGTGATTCGTAGGCTATCGGCTGCAACCCGTTCCCGAAATCTTGGAGGAGCACAGCTCCGATGGCGAAATTTGAGGCGTCGGTTACAACTTCGAACGGCTTCGATGGATCGGCGATGCGCAGCACAGGAGGGGAAACGAGAAAATTCTTGAGTTCCTGTAACGTCGCTTCTGCCTCCTCCCCCCACACAAAATTCTTGTCCTTGTGCAGCAGGTCGGTCAGCGGGCCGGTTATCCCCGCCATATTCGGGATAAACCTCCGGACGTAATTTACGAATCCGAGGAAACTCTGGAGCTCCGTGACGTTCGTCGGGGACTTCCACACCTGTATGGTCTTGATTTTCGCCGGGTCGATTTTAATGCCGTCGCGCGAGATGACGTGCCCCAAAAACTCCAACTCTTGCTTAAAAAACTCGCACTTAGAGCCCTTGGTGATGAGTCGGTTCTCGTGCAGCCGCTTAAACACTGCGTCCAGGTCACGGAGGTGCTGCTCCCTTGTCTTGCCAAAAATGAGAATATCGTCTAAGTAGACGATAACGCACCGGTCTAGAAGATCCCGAAAAACCCTGTTCATGGTCAGCTCAAAATTTGAGGGCGCGTTCGTGAGGCCGAAAGGCATCACTGTGAATTCGTAACTCCCGTAGCGTGTACGAAACACAGTTTTGTGACAATCGTCGGCGAAGACTCGAATTTGATGGTAATTGCCACGTAAGTCAATTTTCGAGAAATAGCGAGCGCCACGAAGTTGGTCGAGGAGGTCGTCGGTGCGTGGGATTGGGTAGCGAGACTTGATGGTGACCCTGTTCAGCACGCGATTGTCGATACACATGCGAAGCCCGCCGTCTTTCTTTGGAGTGAACAGAATCGGTGCTGCGAAGGGAGATGTGCTGGCCCGAATGAACCCTTTTTCCAACAGTGCGTCGATTTGTCGTCGCAGCTCCTCGAGTTCCGGCTGGGTCAACCGCCACTGTGTCCGAACGGTTGGTTGCGCTCCAGGTTCTAGCTGGATTTTGTGGTCCTCAGGTCTCTCCGGTGGCAGTCCAGGTGGCAGATCGTCGGGGAAGATTTCCGGGTACCTCCGAATCAGCTCCGCTAAATCCGGTGGTACAGCTGCACACAACTTCTCGATGTCTTTTCGTTCGGTGTCGACTGCCAACTCGCGTAAACAAACGGCAAACAGCTGCGCGCCCTTGTTGAAGTGGCGAGCTATAGTGCTGGCTTTGACGCACGGGGCTTGGATGTAGTCAGGGGTCCATGCAGGGAGCTTAATTAGCCCCTCGTGCTTGTTGATGCTGCACGTCCCCGTTGTCCAGTCGATGACGGGGTTGTGCCGTCGCAGCCAATCGCGTCCCAGCAGTACGTCGCAGTCGTCCAATGTTGTCGCGAGGAACTTCATGCTGAAGCCGAAATCGTCGTCGCATTCGATCCTGACCGTCCGTGTTTCTTCCGTTATCGCCAGAGGCGTCCCGTCCACGAGGCGAGCGTCGACTTCGGGCAGACACCTGTCAAGTTGCAGCTTGCATTTTTTTGCGCTCGCCAAATTGAAGAGGCTATGACTGGCCCCTCCATCGACGAACATTTTCAGGTTATTTTTTAACACCTTACCGGCGACCAGCACAGGGTGATCCACGTGATTATCCCCGTTATTTGGTCGAGTGCGATCGATTGCATGAATCGGAACCACGACTCGGTGGGGATGGTGAGGTTCGGGCGACGGAGCACAGTCAGTAAAGGGCCCGCTAATTACTGACTCTTCCCATTTCCCTGCTCCTTCCTGTCGTTCCCCGTTAGTGGCGTTTTCTCGTGGCAATCTTTCATGTAGTGACCCGTCTTCCCACACCGGAAACACGGTCCCTTAGGAGGGCGGTCGGGTGTATGGACGGCGTTGATCGTCTATCCTCCTCTTTGAAGTCACGTGTGAGCGCATCCAATGGATTGCTCATCGCCTGACTGTTGCCCTCGCCTTCGTCCACAGGCGACTCCTGACGCGCTTCACCTCGCGTCTGGCGTAGTTCGGCGTTTTCCTCTCGCAGTGTCGTCACTTCCACCATTAACGTCTTCATGCTTTCCTGCATTTCTGCCACTTGCGCCATCATCCTGTTGACCGCTTCCTGATCCATATGCCTAACGCTACGTCTGGTGGGCAATCGGGTCTCCGTGGCCTTCAGGCAAATGAAAACACGAACTATCGGAGTCGGGCAGGATTGAATTAACAATCCCTGCAGCCAACCGTCGTGTAGTCACTAAACCATCCACACCCTATGCCACCAAACTACCCTCGGAAAAGCGGGGTGAACTAGGAAAGTAGCTCTGATACCAGGTGTTATGAGTTGTAAAAGAGAGTGCGCAGGTAAACGAATAACGAAGCTGTGACTGAATCAACTGCGAATACAATGAATGCACAGACTAATGTAGGACTACTCTAGCTAGGAGGAAACCTCGGACGAGCGAGGTTGGGTGCAGGTTTGGCGATGGGAAAGCTGAAGGCGACGTGAGGAGCCTCGGCAGCGTTGAAATCGGCCGAACGTGCGAACTCCGAAAATCGGGTTGTACGCGAAGCAGTCAACCCCGATAAGGAATTCGGGAAAATTCCTTACACACATGGGTCACGAGTCATGACATCCACAACCACAGCATCTGGGGTGATGATTGGTCAAACAATACAATCATGCAAATGCGAATGCGAATCCGAATGCCGAATCAGCCGAGATGAAGAGAAGCGACTTCCCGTCATCACAGTGTTACAGTTCGTGGTCACTCAAAGTTTCGCACATGACGGCTCTTGCCTGCGCACTTGCCGTCTGGTTGCCAAAGACGTTGTCATCACTGAGACTCCCACCCCACCACTTTCCGCCGTTCCCGCCTTCATCATGGCTGCGCAACCCACCAGCGAACTTTGCAGCGGCTTCCCCGCCTCGGGCTTGCCGTGGAGGTGAGGGGAGCACTCCGCATGGCGACTCGACTTGCGGCTCCTTGCCGCTCAGTCACTTCCCTTTCACCTTTCTCTTACCATCACCCCACCTCAGTACTCATCAACTTTTTCACCTTTCTTAAACACGTTTCACCGTTTTTAGCCGTTTTGAAACTTTACTGAAACTCGTAACCGTACTGAAACTCGTTTTTCCCCAAATCTTCGTCACCAAGTCACTAGCAAATTCCTCTCAGGCATTCCCTGTGCAGGCTTTGTCTCAGAAACAAATCTCGTCACGTTCTCTAACTCGATTCATCCGTAGCCATGGCTTCCTTAGATTATTGTACCGTGGAGGTAATTCTCGTGACGTGGCATATTCCCGAAGCGCGTTAACCTTAATATTCTTAAGGAGGATGATAGCAGGATCTTACAGCGTCGTCGAGCACGGAACTGATTGACCATGAAACTGATCGATGAGTCATACTAGCGATGATGAAACTGATCTTTCTCACTAGGCTACAGTTTTTCGGGAGGTTAAGCATTGCTACGACGATTGATCGTGAGGTTTAAGCCGTCATCGCAGCGCTACTACTAGTATCAGCGCGACACCTCAGGCTCATTAGAAAGCTGAGTATTACAATCCGTTTCATCCTGACTGGACGACCGTGACAGAATGGCTTATTCGTTTCATGTTAATTCGCTTATTAGTACAGCAGATCAATCGATTCGTTTTCGGTGTCATGATCGCGAGTCGCGACGTGGAGCTCAGACAACCACAAGTTGTTGCGACCTTAACAACGTGGAGCAACCGCAACGGTAATTGCGACCTTTAGTATTAGGGACGTGCGTCAACGCTTTCCTCTAAGACTAATCGCCTTGTGCGACGTTACAAGGAGGAGCTTGCATCGCTCACGAGTTCACTTATACGGAGGATCTTCTCTCGACCTCAGAGTTTGACGACGCGACGTTATCGCTGAGGATATTCTTCTCGACGTTACTGCTGAGCGGTATTCTTCGCGACGCGACTGCCGAGGACGTTCATAAATCTGCTGAGGAGCTCGCCGACAATACTGCTGAGCGTATTCTCCTTCGCGGCGTTACTGCTGAGAATAATCTTCCCGACGTTACTGCTGATTGTATTCTTCGCGACGTGACTGCTGAGGACGTTCATAAATCTGCTGAGGAGCTCGCCGACAATACTGCTGAGCGTATTCTCCTTCGCGGCGTTACTGCTGAGAATATTCTTCCCGACGTTACTGCTGAGCGTATTCTTCGCGACGTTACTCCTGATGTTGTTCTTCGCGACGTTACTGCTGAGGATGTTCGCAAAGCCAAGGCCACTACCGACGACGGCGCTTGCGCGCTAACGGAGACGCGTGGACGTCAGACTCTGACGACGGCGGAAGAGCTCGGGACAGTGATCGACGGCCGAAGAGCTCGCGACGATGATCGACGGCGGAAGAGCTCGCGAGGATGATTGACGTCGGAAGAGCTCGCGACGAAGAGCAGCTCGCGAAGCATCGCGACGAAGGATGGCGGAGGAGAACGCCGACGATCGCCGTCAATGAATGCGTGAGATAGCGTTTTTCCGTTTCAACGAGTTAGCGTTTTCCGTTTCTGCAGTTTCTCTCGTGACGGATTGTGGCTGGTCTACTCGTTTCGTTTCATGGCGTTTCGCGTTTTCGTATCATGGCGTATCGCACTCTTTCAAGGAGCCGCGGTCGCGCTCCTTGTGACCCTTTCTAATTGTTTCACATCGCATTCCTATTCTCTCCTTGTGACGCTTCTTACGTTCTCCTTGTGACGCGTGCAGGAGCAGCAGAAGCGCTTCCTGTGGAGCGACACGGGAGCATCTCCTATAATTTTCGATCGCTGGGAGCTTGGGGGCGAAGGAGAACTTTGACGCCTCTCGTTCAATGGCTGTTGTAAACATATTCCGTTCGTGGTGAGTTACCGTTTTCTGTCTCAATTCTGTTCTGGACGCTTGTTTTCCGATTTCTGTCTCGATTCTGCAATCGTTTTTTATCCATCTCATCTCGCTGGTCTTCTCGACTCGCTGGTCTCTACGTTAGTTTAGCGCAATCTCTTTCTGTCCAACTCATCTCGCTGGTCCATCTCATGTCATTCCTACTTTCTCCGTCGGTGCAGGCAGGGCAGAGGCTCATGCAAGCATTGCGGATAAGGGATGCATCAGGGGAGAAGCGCGGATGCATCAGGGGAGAGGCGCGGATGCTGCTGATTGGAGTTGGAGCATGGATGCTGAGTGCAGCTCCAACGGCAATCAACATCCGGCTAAGTTCCTCACCCTGACCCTCTGTTTTTTTCGATTTCCATGCCCCTTCCTCCTCCTCCTCCTCCTCCTCCTCCTCCTCCTCCTCCTCCTCCTCCTCCTCCTCCTCCTCCTCCTCCTCCTCCTCCTCCTCCTCCTCCTCCTCCTCCTCCTCCTCCTCCTCCTCCTCCTCCTCCGCCATTGCTGGTTGAGGTGAACCCCACGGGTCACAGGCGCTTACCCCTTTGGTACTTCGGGCAACGGCCCCACCTTTGGTACTTCGGGCAACGGCCCCAGTGTAAGCGCATCCGGTAACCCCCTTCCCTTGGGTACTTCGGGGTAAATGGCCCAGCGTAAGTGCATCCAGCCTTTGCCACCCACTGCAACGACGAAGACCAAGTGTAAGAGTTAAATTACCTCCCTTGCGTCTGTGGCTTGTGGGTGTAGCCTCGCCAGTAACGGCCCTCCCTCCCTCCGCCTCCTCCTCCTCCTCCTCCTCCTCCTCCTCCTCCTCCTCCTCCTCCTCCTCCTCCTCCTCCTCCTCCTCCTCTTCCTCCTCCTCCTCCTCCTCCTCCTCCTCCTCCTCCTCCTCCTCCTCCTCCTCCTCCTCCTCCTCCTCCTCCTCCTCCTCCTCCTCCTCCTCCTCGCATATCATTCGCCTTCTGGTCATCGTTGTTTTCCTTGCAGTGTGTCGCTTTTTTTTTCTCTCTGTCAACTGTTTTTTCTCTCTACCCAGCTACTAACCTTCACTGTGGGATTGCAACCTGTGCAGGGACGGACGGTGAGGTGTTGCTGAGGAAACGGAGAAGCAGCGACAGGAACTGCAGCGACAGGAGCGGCAGCGACAGGCGCGGATGCTTCAGGGGAGAGGCGCGGATGCATCAGGGGAGAGGCGCGGATGCATCAGGGGAGAGGCGCGGATGCTGCTGACTGGCGTTGGACCATGGAGCACGGATGCTGACTGCAGCTCCAACGGCAATCAGCAATCCGCTAAGTTCCCTCGCCCTGACCCTCTGCTTTTTTCGATTTCCATGCTCCTTCGTCCTCCTCCTCCTCCTCCTCCTCCTCCTCCTCCTCCTCCTCCTCCTCCTCCTCCTCCTCCTCCTCCTCCTCCTCCTCCTCCTCCTCCTCCTCCTCTTCCTCCTCCTCCTCCTCCTCCTCCTCCTCCTCCTCCTCCTCCTCCTCCTCCTCCTCCTCCTCCTCCTCCTCCTCCTCCTCCTCCTCCTCCTCCTCCTCCTCCTCCTCCTCCTACTCCTCCTCCTCCTCCATTCCGCAAATCATTCGTTTTCTGTTTGTCGTCTGTTCTCTCTGTCAACTTGTAACCTCTACCCAGCTACTAACCTTCACTGTGGGTTTGTAACTCGCAATTCCTTGTGCAGGGACGGACGGGAAGGCGTTGCTGGGGAAACGGAGAAGCAGTGACAGGAGAAGCATCTGCAGCGGCAGCAGTGACAGGAGCAGCAGTGACAGGAGCAGTAGCGACAGGAGCAGCAAGTAAGTAGCCTCTTCCTTTGTGCATTCGTTTTTTTTTCGGTTTACTCTGCGACTAAACACTCCCGTCGGTTCCTCCTTGCAATCATTGTCTGTTTACTCTCGTAGTCTCTTCTCTGTTTAACCTTGGTCGCCACTCTTTGGTTGCTGTGCAGGGAGCATTAATGTGTGGGTGGAACACGGAGCAGCAGCGACCAGAGGAGAGCTGCAGCGACCAGAGGAGAGCTGCAGCGACCAGAGGAGAGCTGCAGCGACCAGAGGAGAGCTGCAGCGACCAGAGGAGAGCTGCAGCGACCAGAGGAGAGCTGCGAGGAGAGCTGCAGCGACCAGAGGAGAGCTGCAGCGACCAGAGGAGAGCTGCAGCGACCAGAGGAGAGCTGCAGCGACCAGAGGAGAGCTGCAGCGACAAGAGGAGAGCTGCAGCGACCAGAGGAGAGCTGCAGCGACCAGAGGAGAGCTGCAGCGACCAGAGGAGAGCTGCAGCGACCAGAGGAGAGCTGCAGCGACCAGAGGAGAGCTGCAGCGACCAGAGGAGAGCTGCAGCGACCAGAGGAGAGCTGCAGCGACCAGAGGAGAGCTGCAGCGACCAGAGGAGAGCTGCAGCGACCAGAGGAGAGCTGCAGCGACCAGAGGAGAGCTGCAGCGACCAGAGGAGAGCTGCAGTGACAGGAAGAGAGTTGCAGTGGCAGCACCAGCACTGACATCCTCCTCCCAGCAGCAGCAGCCGTGGAGCAAACAGCAGCACGCGAAGGGAAGTCCAGCTGAATGACACGACATGGCAACACGAGAAGAAATGGCCTGACCTGCTGAACCGTCCCATCTCCCCAAGAGATGTTACTTGATGCTGGCGGAGGTGGCCGAGTGGAGAGAAGGAGGAGAGAAGGCGCCAGAGTCGGCGCCAGAGTCGACCTTGGAGTCAACTCACAGCAAGGCGAGTCAACGGCATGAGCAGAAGGCGCCAGAGTCAACGCCGGAGTCGTTGCCAGCAAGGGAAGGGAGGAGAGGAGACATGAGCTGCTCTTCTCGCCAGGCGAGTCAACGGCATGAGCTGGAGCTGCTCTTCTCACCAACGCTGGAGTCAGATGGAGCAGGGAAGGGAGGAGACAGCTGGACTGGCATCAGATGGAGCAGAAGAGAGGCCCGCAGTGACAGCAGCGGTGGCAGCAGCAGTGGGAGCAGAAGAGAGGCCCGCAATGACAGCAGAAGAGAGAACCAACGATGATACCAGCGGTGGCAGCAGCGGTTGCAGGAGAAGAGAGGCCCGCGATGACACTTCTGGTTGCAGCAGAAGGGAAAACCAGCATTGACACCAGCGGTGGCAGCAGCAGTGGGAGCAGAAGTGAGGCCCGCAGTGACAGCAGCGGTGGCAGCAGCAGTTGCAGCAGAAGAGAGCTGGACTGGCATCAGATGCAGCAGGGAAGGGAGGAGACAGCTGGACTGGCATCAGCGGCGGTGGGAGCAGCAGTGGGAGCAGAAGAGAGGCCAGCATTGACACCAGAAGAGAGAACCAACGATGACACCAGCGGTGGCAGCAGCAGTTGCAGGAAAGGAGAGGCCCGCAATGACACTACCAGTGGCAGCAGAAGGGGAAACCAGCAGTGACACCAGCGGTGGAAGCAGCAGTGGGAGCAGAAGTGAGGCCCGCAGTGACAGCAGTGGTGGCAGCAGCAGTTGCAGCAGAAGAGAGCTGGACTGGCATCAGATGCAGCAGGGAAGGGAGACAACTGGACTGGCATCAGCGGTGGCAGCAGCAGTGGGAGCAGAAGAGAGGCTCGCAATGAAACCAGAAGAGAGAACCAACGATGACACCAGCGGTGGCAGCAGCGGTTGCAGCAGAAGAGAGGCCAGCAATGACACCAGCAGTGGCAGCAGCAGCAGCGGTGGCAGCAGCAGTAGCAGCGGGGAGCAGCAGCAGCAGCAGCAGCAGCGGGGAGCAGCAGTAGCAGCAGCAGCAGCGGGGAGCAGCAGTAGCAGCAGCAGCAGCGGGGAGCAGCAGTAGCAGTAGCAGAAGTGGAGGGAGACGGCTGCAGGAGAAGAGAGGCCCGCAATGACACTTCCTGTTGCAGCACCAGAGAAATCCAACAATGACACCAGCGGTTGTAGCAGCAGTGGGAGCAGAAGAGAGGAACGCAGTGACACCAGTGGTGGCAGCAGCAGCAGCGGTGGCGGCAGCGGTGGCGGCAGTAGCAGCAGCAGCAGCAGCGGGAAGCAGCAGTAGCAGTGGAGGGAGACGGCTGGGACCTGCTAGGAGAGGCATAGATAGGATGTGAGGAGAGCGAGAGTGAGAGGCGAGTGGAGTGTTGAGAACTGCAGCAGGCTGCAGAGTGAGGGTGAGGGGAGGAGCGAGTGAGAGTTAGAGTGAGAGTGAGAGTGGGGTGTGAGGACCTCGTTTGCTGGTTTGAGGCGCCTCAAATCCAGTTGTGAGCTGCCGGTGGCAGTTCTGTTCTGTCCTGCAGTGCACTGCAGTGTTCCGTTCCTCCTCTCTTCTCTTCTCTGAGTTTTGAGACGCATCTCAAAACTCACTCTCTTCACTTGAGAGTTTCAAGCGACGTCTGAAACTCACACACACTCTCTCTCTCTCTTTCTCCTCACTGCAGAGTCGCTGCAGTGAGCAAAAACAGGGTTTTGAGAGACGACTCATCTCAAAACTCTTTTGCTTGTTCCTCACTGCAAAACTTGCAGTGAGCAAAATTGCACAGCTGGTCCTGAAGCAAGACTGGAGGAAGGAGCAGCTTCAAGTGAGGCGCATGCTTTGCTCCCTGGGGGGCAAAGGATCAACTGTGTGTCTCCCTCTCTTCTAGGTACAGCAACAGCGCGGAGGCAACACTAAGGGCGGGGCAATAGCGGAACGCAGCAGCAACACGGGACCCGCTGTAAGCTGCAGTCTGCCTTTCATTCTTTTGTTTGTCTAATGCCTAATGTTGGATGTTTTGTGAGTTTTTCAGTTTTAGCCGCCAGCAAGACAATGAAGGCTCGCGCCTCCCTCAGTGAGTTTTGTTCCATTTCTGCTTGCTGTTTTCCCACTCGTACTAATGTTGTTTGTGTGCGTGTTTCAGCCAGGGATCAAGGCACGACGGCTCGCGCCCCCCTCGGTGAGTTTTGTTCCATTTCTGCTTGCTGTTTTCCCACTCGTACTAATGTTGTTTGTGTGCGTGTTTCAACCAGGGATCAAGGCACGACGGCTCGCGCCCCCCTCGGTGAGTTTTGTTCCATTTCTGCTTGCTGTTTTCCCACTCGTATTAATGTTGTTTGTGTGCGTGTTTCAGCCAGGGATCAAGGCACGACGGCTCGCGCCCCCCTCGGTGAGTTTTGTTCCATTTCTGCTTGCTGTTTTCCCACTCGTACTAATGTTGTTTGTGTGCGTGTTTCAGCCAGGGATCAAGGCACGACGGCTCGCGCCCCCCTCGGTGAGTCTTGTTCCATTTTCTGCTTTCCGTATTCGACGCATACTAATGTTGCTTTGTTTGTCTGGTTTAGCAGAGCAGGAGGAGCGCAGGAGCAGAGAAGCGCCGGGGCAGGGGAGGAGCGGAGGAGGAGAGGAGGAGGAGAGGAGGAGCAGAGAAGCAGCGGAGGGAGGAGGCTAAGGAGGGTTCTCTGCTATTGCTTCTGCCAGTGAGTATCCATTTCCTGCTCTCAATGTCTTGTTCGCTTTCGCATTGATTGTGAATCGCTTCTTGGCTATCCCTGGGTGCAATCGCTGGGTGCAATCACTGGGTGCAATCACTGAGTGCTCATAGGCTCTTCTTCCTTCCCTTTCCGCAGGAGATGCATCGGAAGGGCGAGGAGCAGCAGAGGAGAAGCGGAGGCGAGGAGCAGCAGAGGAGGCAAAGGAGCGAAAGAGAATCCCCTGCCACTGCCAGTGAGGAGAAGAGGAGATGGCGCAGAGGGGATGGGAGTAGCTGTGGAGCGAAAGAGAATCTCCTGCCCCTGCCAGTGAGTATCTCCTTTGCTCTCAATTGACGGTCATTGCCGCAGTCGCTTTGCCTTCATTCTGAATCACTTGTTGGCACGGGGTGTAATCGGTGCAATGAGCAGCAGAGAAGCGAACCAGTGCAATGAGCTCATGGCTTTTCTCCTTCCATTCCGCAGGAAATGAGATGGCGCAGAGGAGATGGCCCAGAGGAGATGTCGCAGAGGAGATGGTAGTTGCTGTGGAGCGAAGGAGCAAGGAGCGAAGGAGTGAAGGAGTGAAGGGGAATCCTCTGCCACTGCAGAGGAGGCGAAGGAGTGAAGGAGGAGGGGAGTGGAGCAAGGAGTGAAGGAGGAGAGGAGTGGAGCAAAGGAGTCATGGAGCACAGCACAGTGGTGGAGGGACTCTCTGCTGCCGATGGTGATTAAGTTGTCTGCTTTCAGTCTTCCTGTTTGTTCAGATGCATGGTGGTTGCTTTGTTCTCTTTGCGTTTCCCTGAGCCTTGGCACTGGGTTCAGTTGGTTCAATGGTCTCATGCGCCCTGAGGCTTCTCCTCCCATCCCGCAGGAGATGGACGAGTTGGCTCAGCTGAGGAGGAGATGAGGAGCAGAGGAGCGACGGCTCAGCTGAGGAGAGGTGGAGCAGCAGCGGAGGTGGAGCGAAGGAGTGAAGGAGCGAAGGAGCACGATCGTCGATAAATCTTCACTGCCACTGGTGATCCTCTTCCTTACTTTAGCTGTTTTTTTTGTTTGTTGCCTGAATCATTTCGCAACAGCTTTGAGTTGGTTCTAGGCATGGGGTGCAATCGGTGCCATTCTCTCATTGGCCTTGTGCCATTCCCCTCCCATCACAAAAGGTCGGTCAAGGCAGAGCAGCGAGGAGAAGGAGCAGCAGAGGAGGAGGAGCAGCAGAGGAGACAAAGGAGCAAAGGAGAAGCAGACGGAGTAGAGGCGCAAAGCAGATGAGCAGAGGCGCAAAGGAGATGGATCGGAGGCGGAAAAGGCCTATCAGCGCTCCTACCTCTTTCCCTACTCATGGAGACGGCAGCTGCTACCTCGCTGAGCGCTGCAGAGTGAAGGGGAGAGCAGAGTGAACGGGGGAGCAGAAGGAGGTAGCAGCAGCTCCTACCTCTCTCCCCACTCATAGGAGCACAGGTGAAGAGGAGTGGAGGAGCAAAGGGGATGCGCAGCAGCAACATTAGGAGAAGAGTGGTGCTGCTGCGTTGGAGGTGGAGTGGTGCTGCTGCGTTGGAGGTGGAGTGGTGCTGCTGCGTTGGAGGTGGAGTGGTGCTGCTGCGTTGGAGGTGGAGTGGTGCTGCTGCGTTGGAGGTGGAGTGGTGCTGCTGCGTTGGAGGTGGAGTGGTGCTGCTGCGTTGGAGGTGGAGTGGTGCTGCTGCGTTGGAGGTGGAGTGGTGCTGCTGCGTTGGAGGTGGAGTGGTGCTGCTGCGTTGGAGGTGGAGTGGTGCTGCTGCGTTGGAGGTGGAGTGGTGCTGCTGCGTTGGAGGTGGAGTGGTGCTGCTGCGTTGGAGGTGGAGTGGTGCTGCTGCGTTGGAGGTGGAGTGGTGCTGCTGCGTTGGAGGTGGAGTGGTGCTGCTGCATTGGATGTGGAGTGGTGCTGCTGCGTTGGGGTGGAGTGGTGCTGCTGCGTTGGAGGCCTGCGTTGGAGGTGGAGTGGTGCTGCTGCGTTGGAGGTGGAGTGGTGCTGCTGCGGAGCAGTAGTGGCAGTGGCAGCAACAGCGGCATTCAGCAGCAGTGGCAGCAGCTGGGACCATCAGCAAAGGGACTATCAGCAACACCAGAAGACAGCAGCAGCAAGAGGTGCTACCTCGCTCGCTCCTACCTCCCTCCAGTCTGCTGCTTCTGGTGCTGTGGAGTGATAGGAGGACAGGTGACGAGGAGTGGAGGAGCAAAGGAGATGTGCAGCAACAAAAGGAGAAGCAGCAGCAGAAGAGAAAGCCAGCAGTGACAGCAGCGGTGGCAGCAGCAGCGGGAGAAGAAGAGAGGCCCGCAGTGGCACCAGCGGTGATGGGACCGCAGCTGCTACCACCGCTGCTGTCACTGCTGGCTCAGTCGCTCCTACCTCAGTCGCTCCTACCTCAGTCGCTGCCGTTGGTGCTGTGAAGTGAAATGATGGGACGGAAGGGGAGATGGCGCATACAGGGGGGGCAGATTGTTGAGAGGGGGGCCAGCGAAGCTGATTGAAGGCAGGAGCAGAGTGAAGGAGGGACAGCAGAGTGAGGAGGGAGCAGAGTGAGAAACGAGCAGAGTGTTGAGAACTGCAGCAGGCTGCAGCGTTAGGGTGAGGGGAGGAGCGAGTGAGAGTTAAGAGTTAGGGTGAGAGTTAGAGTGGGGTGTGAGGACCTCGTTTGCTGGTTTGAGGCGCCTCAAATCCAGTTGTGAGCTGCCGGTGGCAGTTCTGTTGTGTCCTGCAGTGCACTGCAGTGTTCCGTTCCTCCTCTCTCCTCTTCTCTGAGTTTTGAGACACACCTCAAAACTCACTCGTGAGTTTCAACGTGAAACTCTCTCTTTCTCTCTTCTCCTCACTGCAGAGTCGCTGCAGTGACCAAAAACAGGGTTTTGAGAGACGACTCATCTCAAAACTCTTTTGCTTGTTCCTCGCTGCAAAAATTGCAGTGACCAAAATTGCACAGCTGGTCCTGAACCAAGACTGGGCAGAAGACCAGAGCAGCAGGGAGGGCCAGTAAGGATGGGCGGCAATGGATTCAAGGATAATTTTCACCTGCCCCTGGGCAGTATCCTTCTGTCTGTGTTCTGTCTTCCCCCCCCACAGGGTCCCAAGCAATGGTTCCCACCTCACCGCGGTGCTTGGGTGTAACGTTAGGAGCTCTGCTCCTAGCGGCCAAGAGGAACCCCCCATGGATTCAGTTCAGTACATGGGAATTATAGTAGATCACTAGTTGATGTTCAATTAGTATCAGTTCAATTATTGGTTGACCTTTGATAAATGTGAAACTTCTAGTTGAATATTTGATAGAGAGTGAACTGGATCAAATAATTATTCTGATACTAATACCGGTATGGACCTGAGCTGGAACTTGGTTCACGGATTTTATAATTCAGCCACACGATCATATCGCGTCGCGTCGCGAGTTTGCGATTCAGCCCAGACTCGAGGAAACGAACATGGCAAGTTGAATATTTGGCGGGAACCGAGATCACACACCCGCAGCTGTCATTGGGCTCATTCCCCCCAAGGCTCGTGATTCGTGAAGTGTATTCGACAACGAATCACCTCGATGAACCCGAGAGTGTCAGGATGTGCACCGTCCATCCCATCACATAGGCTTCAATACTGTATGGCATGGCAGGTGAAGCCATGGCCTTGAGGTTGTCACAACCAAACGCTGTGTGTTTCAGGGCCAACAGATTTCAGGGGCATCATCGCAGCAAGCGAGTGACTTATCAGACGTTTTATCAGTCAACTAAGATCACGTAAAGTCCGATATTTTTGTCTTAGTGGTGCCATCGCATGGTGTAGGTGCACAGATGGATTTAGCTAAGGAGAATAAGTCGCTCAAGGCAGAGCTAGAGAAAGTTCGAGCTGCTCTTGCGAAATCAGAGAGCACGTGCTTGGCTCTTCAGAAGGACCTCGCCGGTATCGACGACAGCTATCAGAAGCGGTTAGGGAAGCAAGCAGAGCGGCTTGCGCTGTGTCAGAATGAGTTGGAGAAGTATCAGATGAAGGTTGAGAAGCTTCAGCGAGAGAAGAAAGATATAGAGGAATCCATATCCGTTAGCAGTCAACAAGACACCTCGGCTTCGGTAGTGAGGCCGTCCGAGGATCAAACCGCTTCTGATGCAGATTCATCGCAAGCAAAGGGTCAGGAGAATGAACAGCTCGACGAGCATGATTCCTCCAATGAATCTTCGGAAAGCCGCCATGCTCTTGGAAATATCGGCAAGTGCAGTACCGATGGCTCCTCCGTCGAGAAAGAAGTCACCGCCGTTTCAACCCCTGAAACCGATCAGTTCTCCCTCGGAACTGCTGGACTCGACTCTGGCGTCATTGACAACATTCCTGACTCAAATCTTAAATCAGAGCTGAGCGCACCGAGGCAACTTCAGCTGGAAACCGCTTTGGAGGCTACGAGGAAGGAGAACTCGGAGCTGAGGGCTCAGCTGGAGGAGAAGGACATGGAGCTCGCGCGAGTGAGGGAGACGGCCACGTGGCAGGATATGGAGATGACCAAGCTAAGAGGCATGGTGAAGGACCTGTCTCTTCCAGATTCTGCACTGAAGGTAAGTGTCGAACTCATTTCTTGGAGTCTTTGCTTCGCTGACATTTTTCACTCAACTTCTCTATTTTCCCATGTGCAGGTGCCTGAATCAGATCCTAAAGCATTGGTGGTCGCCAATGAGAAGATTAATGAACTCGAGAAGAAGGTGTCAGAGCTGGCTTCAGCGAAAAAGAAGCCCAAGTTCTTGAAGTTTCTTTGCATGTCCTGATGATGGTCGTGGATGCTCACTTCACTTCACAGAAGACTGCTAGCATAGCCTGTTTATTTTCTACACGTCGGTATCTGACTGAGCTTTGTGCTACAGATCAGAGAAAGAGCTTTTTCATCACCTGCTATACATGCTTTATTGAACAGCAAGGCGCTGCAAGTGTTGTGAAAAGGTCTCTAGGCTAACATCATCTGTGAAAATGTACTGCTGCGAATTCTTGGCCTCCTCTACAAACGATGGTGATGACGGGATGGATGAGCTTGCATGCGTGGCCGATGGGTTGAGCCGAGATGTCAGAAATCTTGACTGACTACTCCCTTGCTCACACTCCATGATTCTGGGCTCAGGCATTCTCTCGCTGGCCAAAGCTAACGCATCTTCCATCGGCAACTCCAGAAGTTTCCTGCAAGGTTGCGGGATGGACACAAGCACACCAGACCAGAGCTGCCATGACACTGGCCTCCCTTGTGCAATGAAATGGATGAATCAGTTACTGCATCCAGACTGAGAACAGCAGCATGACCATACAGCTGGAGTCCAGTCCGAGGTGGAAGGGTGGAAGCGCACCTGAAGGCTGCGTGTGCAGGGTCGAGGTGGAAGCCCTGGTGCATCCAGTGCACGACGGTGGAGCCGTGCAGCACAACAATGTGGAAGAATCCATCACGCAGCAGCACAGCGAAATTCAGTCAAGAGGTGGAAGAATACCTGAAGGCTGCGTGTGCAGGGTCGAGGTGGAAACCCTGGTGCTTCCAGTGCACGATGGTGGAGCCGTGGAGCACGACAATGTGGAAGAAGCCGTCGTACAGCAGCACACAGTCGGGCTGCAGTGATGACACGTCCAGCAGCACAGCATGTGGTGGTGACTCAAAGGTGTAGGCGATCAGAGCGGGCTGCAGGAGAAGGACGGGAAGCGAAGGCAAGGACAGGTCAAGGAGGAGTTGAATGGTAGGAGAAACAGTGGCCCTGGCTCGCGAGAATTGAACGGGCGGAAAGGAAGGGTATGAGCGGTAGGGTACCTGAACCATGAGGAGGGAGTTGGCAACGGCTTCTCTGGTGAGCATGAGGCGGAAGAATGCCGTCTCATCGGGGCTGTGGTTGAACACCTGCTGCCATGCACACATGCACACATGCACACATGCACACATGCACACATGCACACATGCACACATGCACACATGCACACATGCACACATGCACACATGCACGCATGCACGCATGCACGCATGCACGCATGCACACATGCACGCATGCACACATGCACACATGCACACATGCACACATGCACGCATGCACACATGCACACATGCACACATGCACACATGCACACATTCACACATAGACACACAACACCACAGCAGCCATGGCATGCAGATAATGGGGAGCCTAGAGTCAGACAAGAGCAACGTGCCGGCCAGGTTGCCACAGCTACAACCACATCACTTCACGCTACATCCCAGCACCCGGCAACCTCACACTGCCTGCACTCATCTTTACACGTGGTAACACTGGATGAAAGTATACCTGGAGAAAGGCACACCTAGGGGAAGGCACACCTGGAGGAAGGCACACCTGGAGGAAGGCACACCTGGAGGAAGGCACACCTGGAGGAAGGCACACCTGGAGGAAGGCACACCTGGGGGAAGGCACACCTGGAGGGAGACACACCTGGGGGAAGGCACACCTGGGGGAAGGCACAGCTGGGGGAAGGCACACCTGGAGGAAGCTGGAGCGGCGGAGGTGGAACATGAACTGGGGGAAGAGGGAGAAGGCGGAGGCGAGGTGGAAGGAGGAGGGGTCGCCCCGGCTGTACTGCCCGAACTTGGCTCCAAAGCGGATGAGCATGCGGTCCAACCAGCGCAGCACATCACTCATGTCCTCTGACTCTGCCTGGTGGGGGGAAAGCGGGGAAGGAAAGGAGAGAGAGCAGCACGGGATGAAATCAACAGCACAGGGATGCCTCATGAGAGGGCGGAGATCCAACGCGGATGAGCATGTGATCCAGTCATCGCAGCACGTCACTCATGTCCTCTCACTCCGCCTGGTGGGAGGTGGAGGGTGGTGGGGGGACCGGAGCACAGCAGCATGGCATGGGATGTGCAGCACAGGGATGCATCATGACTCCAGAGAGATTCAAAGCGGATGAGCATGCGGTCCAGCCATCGTAGCACATCACTCATGTCCTCTGACTCTGCCTGGTGGGGGGGGAGGGGAAGGGGCGGGGAAGGGGGGGAGAACCGGCAGCATGGCAAGATATTTACAACATAGGTATGGATGCATCACGGGTTGGAAGAGATCCAAAGCGGATGAGCATGCGGTCCAGCCATCGTAGCACATCACTCATGTCCTCTGACTCTGCCTGGTGGGGGGGGAGGGGAAGGGGCGGGGAAGGGGGGGAGAACCGGCAGCATGGCAAGATATTTACAACATAGGTATGGATGCATCACGGGTTGGAAGAGATCCAAAGCGGATGAGCATGCGGTCCAGCCAATGCAGCAAGTCACTCATGTCCTCTGATCCAAAGAGGATGAGCATACACCTTGAAAGCAGCTAGCTTGGCCACGAGAGCAGCAGCAGCCTCCTGATCAAACCCCATCACCACTTCCGCCAGTGCTGCAGCTGCCCTTCCCCCCGGCACTCCCCCCACCACCAACTCCCCATCCCCTTCCGCCACCCCCACCCCAACAGCCTGCGAATCCGCGCCAGCAGCCCCCCCTTCGCCCCCCATGTGCACCCAGCGCCTGGCTGCTGTGGCCACGCGCACCCTCCTGCTGCCATCCCCGTGGCGGTACGTGGTGAGGAACTGAGAGGGGAAGGGGGGAGGTTGGGAGCGCAATAGGAAAGTGGAGGGCGGATGGTGGGAAGGCTGCCGAACACCTCACGTGCCTGAGACAGCACACGCATGACAGCACACGCATGACAGCACCGCATGACAGCACCGCATGACAGCACCGCATGACAGCACCGCATGACAGCACCGCATGACAGCACCGCATGACAGCACCGCATGACAGCACACAGCGGATTGCAATGAGTGGGAGAGGGAGACAAGCCTAGCTTTGAGGCGCCTCAAAACTAAGGAAGACAGCCGAACACCTCACGTGCCTGGGACAGCACACGCATGACAGCACACAACGGATTGCAAGCAGTGGGCGAGGGAGACAAGCCACCTCCCCCCCAAGAAACAACCCTCCCTGGCCAACAGACCTGGAATAACGCGAACGAGCCCGGCGGGATCTGATGCGCTCTCGGCGATGCTATCTCAACGAAGAGGGCGAGGGAGGAGGAGCGGGGGGGGAGGGAGCAGAGGGAAAGAAAGCCATGCCAGCCCTCCCAGGCCAACACACCTGGAACAACGCGAACGACCCTGGCGGGATCTGGTGTGCGCTGGCCGGTGCAATCTCGAAAAAGAGGGCGAGGGAGGAGGAGTGGGGGGAGAGGGAGCAGAGACGCCAGGCAGCGAAGAGAACACCTTCCCCATGCAACACACGTGGAACACGGGCAAACACAAACCTGGAACAGTGCAAAGGAGCCCGGCGGGATCTGGTGCGCTCTGTGCGGCGGTGCAATCTCAAAGAAGAGGGCGAGGGAGGAGGAGCGGGGGGAGAGGGAACAGAGGCGCCAGGCAGCCGTGCCGCCCTGCCCCACCTCGTGCTCGCTCACGCTCTCCGCCTTGCTCCACAGGTTGCCACACGCCCCCACCGCCCCCATCACCTTGATCTCCTTGGGCAGCTTCACCTCCACTACCCCGTCTGTCGCGGCTAGCAGAGGGCCCTGTAACGGGGATGGAAGGGGTATAGGATGGTATGGCATGATATGGTATGCAATGGCGTGGCATAGCATGGCATGGCTTGGCATGGCACGGCATGGGCCACGATCCATACTGACCTCATGCGACCGTTGAAACAGCTTGCACAGGGACTTGGCAAAGATGTCTGACTCAAACGAGTCGGCCAATACGAGCGTGCCACTTGTCGCCTCGATGGCGCCCCTCATCTCCGCCACCCCCACTTGGTCCGCCGCACATGCAAACACGTCTATGGCCGCTGATACCTCTGCTGCTCGCTCACCCAACTGGGTGTAGAACCGCGTTGCGCGGCTGTTGGGAAGAGGGAAAAAAGGAGGAAACGGCACGTGCAGCAACAGTTACAACACCACACATGAAAACACGTCTATGGCTGCTGATACCTCTGCTGATCGCTCGACGAATTGAGAGAAGAAGCGTGTGGCACGGCTGTTGGGAGGAGGGAGGGAGGAGGGGAAAGACACATGAAGCAGGGGAGCGACACCGAACACGTCCATCCAGCACGAAACAAAAGCATGCGGGAGGGTCGGCAACGTGGAACTGACTGGTAGTAAGCGGTGTTGTCGAGGAGGATATTCGAGTGCGTTCGAAGGCAGTCTGCCATGTCTGTATTCTACCCACCACCATACCCGGCCCCACCATACTCCGAGCCCAAACCCACCGTGCCCAGCCCCAATGCGTCGGCCCCAGAGCAGAGTGGAACTGACTGATAGTAAGCGGTGTTGTCGAGGAGAATATCCGAGTGTGTGCGGAGGCAGTCAGCCATGTCTGTACCCACCACCATGCCTGGCCCCACTGTGCCTGGCCCTCCCAGCAGCACCACCACTCGCCCTCCGGATCGCAACGCCCTCTCCCCTCCCCCTCCCGCCCTCTCCCCTCCCTTCCTCGCTCCCTCCCCTGCCCTCCCTGTCCCCTCGCCTTCCCTCCTCGCCCGCCCTCCTGACTCCGCTGCCCCCCCTCCCCACTCCTCTGCTGCTCCCCTCTTCTCCCATGCTGCCCGCCCTGTTCCATCCTCCGCTCTCCCTCCCTCATCCGCTGCCCCCTGCTCGCCCCGAGCCTCCATCACAGCCACGGCGGCTGCCAAAGCTGCACCAATGGCTCGGCACGGCCTGCGAGGAGACAAAGTGGAAAGCCATGAGAGACAGTGTGGGGGAAGACAGAGCTTACTCTCGGTAGAGCCAGCTGCAGCGTAGTCCAGATGTGGCATATATCACCCATCTGCACCTTACTTCAGTTCATATGATCTGTAAGAGAGGCTAACTCACCTCACCCCTGGCACCATTGGCTGTGAGTCCGGCTGTAGCGCCGCTATCACCCCCCTCAGCACGGCCTCGCCCTCCACCAGATGCACCATACTCCACCAATCTGAACCGCACTAAATCCACCTGAACCCACTGTATCTCACCTCACCCCTGGCACAACTGGCTGTGAGTCCGGCTGTAGCGCCGCTATCACACCCCTCAGCACGCCCTCTCCCTCCACCAGAGGCACCAGATTCCACCCATCTGAACCGCAAATAGTCCCCCTGAAGCCACTGTATCTCACCTGACCCCTGGCACCACTGGCTGTGAGTCCGGCTGTAGTGCCGCTATCACACCCCTCAGTACGCCCTCTCCCTCCACCAGAGGCACCAGATACCGCCCATCCGCCGCCCCTCTGCCGCCCAGCACCAGCGACGGTGGGGGCGGCGAAGACGACACTGACTCTGCTGACGTGGACAGCGATGGTGGTGGTGATGCTGACACGCGGGCAGATGAAGAATGAGAGGAGGAAGAGGTTCTAGGCGAGAGGGGGCCCTTGGGAGAGGCCGGCTTGCCAGTGAAGGCCCCCTTGGCAGGGGTGGTCGTGTGCATTGCAGGGGCATGGCCGCTGCTCTGTGTGGTCTTGGGTGGTGCAGACGGCGTGTGAGGCTGAGGCAGCCCCAGCCCCAGCCCCAGGAGCTGCTTTATCTTGCTGGGAGGGAGGTCCTTGTCCCCCGGTAGCAGCACCACACGCGACGACAGCGGGCCGGCTTGAGAGCGAGGGAATGAGTGAGGGAGTGAGTGAGGGAGTGAGTGAGGGAGGGAGTGGGAGAGTTCGTGCATGGCGACCTGTGCGCCCACGGTGATGAGCCCCACGGGGCAGGTGACTGGTAGCAGTGGCAGCAGCTGCAGCAGGGCTGCCTTGGCGTGGTGTAGCTCGTCAGGCGGCACACACGTGTCCAGCACAAACAGGAACGCAGGCTGCCTGTTTGGAAGGAGAGGGAGGATGGGTAGTGGGAACTTAAACGACCTTTCTGGTGACTGGTAGCAGTCGCAGCAGCTGCAGCAGGGCGGCTTTGGCGTGGTGTAGCTCATCAGGGGGTACACACGTGTCCACCACAAAGAGGAACGCGGGTTGCCTGTTGAAAGGAGGGGGAGTAGAGAGATGGCATGGCGTATGAGGTGACAAAAGAGCAGCTTGCAGCAGGCGGCCTTGGCGTGGTGCAGCTCGTCAGGCGGTACACACGTGTCCAGCACAAAGAGAAACACGGGCTGGCCGAAGGGGGGAAGGGGGATTGGGGGACGGCACAGAGGCGGCACATGGCTCAGACTCAACAGCAGCAGCTGCAATGCGGTCGCATTGGCGTGGAAAAGGAAGAGCAGAAGAGCAAAGAAGACAAGAGGAGATGAGGAGAGGAGAGGCGATGGATGAGGGGAGAGGAGAGGAGAGGAGTGGAGAGGAGAGGAGAGGAGAGGAGTGGAGAGTGGAGAAGAGAGGGAGTACGCACGGTGTGGCGGCGTGCGGCAGGAGGAACTCGATGGTGCTGAGGCTGGGGGATAGCTCCATGGGCAGATTGGTCTCACTCACGTCCCTGTAGTTGGGCGGAAAGAGGTTCCTCTGTGCGATGTGCAAGGAAAAGGAGGAGAGCAGTGGGGAGAAGAGGGGGGAGGGAGGGAAAGGGACGGGAAGGGAAGTGAGAGCTCCATGGGCAGGTTGGTCTCGCTCACATCCCTGTAGTTGGGCGGAAAGAGGTTCCTCTGTGCGGTTTAAGGGGGAGGGGCGGGGAGGAGGGGGGATCAATGAGAGCTCCATGGGCAGGTTGGCCTCGCTGACGTCCACATCCCTGTAGTTGGGCGGATGAGGAACACGTTCCTCTGTGCAGCGGGGAGAGGCGAGGGACGCAGAGGGGAGAGGAGGCGAGAGCGCAGGAAAGAGAGAATGGGAGGAGGGAATGGAGTGAGGGGGGATGACGAGGGGTGGGACGGGAGGAAGGAAGTCAGGAGAAGAAGAGAGGCACACAGCAGCACTCCCAACCCAACCCAACCTAACCCCACCACTTTCCCCCTCATTTCTTCCTCCTTCCGCCCATTTTCCTCCTCCCCCCACCACATTCCCCCATATGTTACCTGCTGGCACAGCGCGCACGCGCTATACCTTCCGCCCATCCCCCCCCGCACCCTTTCCCCCTTTATACCTGCTGGCACAGCGCGCATGCCCACGAGCGGGAGCCGCAGTGCAGCGCGCAGTACGGGTTGAGCGCGGCGCCGCACGCCTTGCAGAGCAGCGGCGGATGCGGAACGACCTGCAGATCCGCGATTTCCGCGAGCGGCGTGAAAACCGCGCCGAAGGGGACGACGCAGCGCGTCGCCTCGAGGCGCGACGACGGCCATACGTTCCACGAGAAGCGCAGCCCCTCCGCCGCCTCCAGCTCCTGGAAATCCATCGCTCACCGCGCGACTCACGGCGAGCTACTCGCGGCGACTCACGGCTGTCAACGCCCGGCGCAAGATCAGAGGAGAATAACGGGCCGCGTCTACGTCGTCGTCAGGCACGTCTGGTGAGTACGCGTTTTAAGTGGGTTAGTAGGTCTCGTAACGATTCAGTCTCGAACGAAGCAATTCACGCTAGTACAAGCCTACGGACGGATTGAGCAAACAGATTCACAAATTATGGGTGGATTGATATTGCTTCATTACACGGCAAACCGCTGCTTTTTAAAAGTCAGTCAAGCCATTCTACACACTCCGCACGGCACAAACAGAACCCCGGGCCTCGTTACAATCACAGTCCCAAGCCGACTCGAGACCCGGTGGCGATTAATCTACTATCGAAGCTTAGTCTCGGTGAAGAGCACGTGCTTCTGAACACGCGGGTCGTACTTTCGGAACTCGAGCTTGTGCGGCAGGTTGCGCGGGTTCTTCTTGGTGACGTAGAAAAAGCCCGTCCCCGCCGCCGACAGCAGCTTCACCAGGATCGCCCCTCCCTTGCCCTTGGCCATGGTGACGAGCTCTCGAAAAGCAGGAATTCCCGGCTTGCGAATGAGGCAACAAACTTAAAACTGGCTGAAGGTGAGGAGGACAAAACGTGTTGTTACGTGAGGTTCCAAAGACGAAACAATGCACTAACGCGTATAACGTATACCAAGTCTTATAGACTAGTGACCCAAAATTCAAGCAGACCTTAGTGCACAGCAAGAGATCATGCAAGGTAAAACCTTCATCACATCACACACAGACAAAGCTTAAGGCAGCAACATTACTTAAAAGGATAAAAAAAAACAACCACAAAGCAAGGACATGCCCATGCGCTATGGACATGGCTAGCTTCTCATCTTAACTCTTCTGAACTTTGCCTCCCTTCTTGGGATCAGCCGCAACCCCTCTTAATTTCCCACCAGCCGGCACTGCTCCTTTCCCCTTCCCACCCTGCTTCCCTGCAGCAACCCCACCTTTACCCTTTGCTCCTCCCGCCTTCTCTTGCCTGGGTGCTGGATGCACCTTTCCCTTTGGCACCACTGCTGCTCCCTTCCCCCCTGCATGTGCCGCAACATTCTTCCCTGCACCTGCACCTGCATGCGCCTTCCCTGCTTGCTTCCCAGATGCCACCCCCCCAGCCTTCCCACCAGCACCCTTTCCTCCTGGCGCCTTCCCTCCAGGCGATTTCCCATGAGGTGCCTTCCCTCCCGGGCCCTTCCCCTGCTGCTTCCCTGCAGGATGGCCCTTTCCCTTGGCAGCATCCCCCGCCTTCTGCTGCTGCTTCGGGGTCGCTGTCTTAGCACCTGTGGTAGGGTGACTCGTCTTGCCACTGCCAGGACCAGGCTTCCCTGTCTCCTTCCCCTCTTTCCCACCCTTGCCCCCTTTAGCATTTTTTCCATCTGTAGCGTCTTTCCCCTGAGCTGCCTGCTTGGGATCTACTTTCCCCTTGCCGCCTTTACTATCCTTGCCACCACCTTTGCCACCGCCCTTGCCACTCTTGCCGCCCTTGGAGCCCTTGCCGTCCGCCGCTATGCCGTCCCCTTCCCCAGTGATCATCCTGACCGTCTCTTGCTGCTTGCCGTGCGCGCTCAGATCCATTGCCACGTGGGATGGCTTTGTCTCCGCTGCTGACGTGGACTGGCAAGGGAAACGGTGTGGGGGGAGGAAACAGGGGGGTTGAGAGTACATGCGAATGGAGTGGAGTGGCTTACAATGTCGCTTGCAGCCACAGCATGAGCAGCAGCAGCAGCAGCAGCAGCAGCAGCAGCGGAGGAGCACGTACGGCGTGTTTGGCCCCCATGAAGAAGGGGCACTGGATAACCATGGCAACAAGAAGTGCACGGGCTGTACAATCAAGAGAGCAAGCAGCGCAGAGAAAAGCTGCAGAGCAGAGAAGCAGAGCAGCGCAGAGCGACTTACAAGGTCGTCTGCAGCAGCGGCCGCGGCCTCTTTCGCCCCCATTGAGAATGGGAACTTGTCGACCACGAAGAGAAAGACGAGCGCACTGCACAGCACCACCTGCTCGCATGTGAGTGCAGGAGGGATGGAGGGGGCGGGGGCGCATAAACGAATGGACCATTGGGTCGACTCAGAAAGGGAACTTGTCGACCACGAAGAGAAAGACGAGCGCACTGCACAGCACCACCTGCATAAGCGGGCGGAAGGAATAGGGGGACGGATGGGGGGAGAGATGGTTGGAGGAATAGGGGGATGAGGGCGGGCGGAGAAATGGACTTGTGAGTCAAGTAAGAAGGGGAACTTGTCGACCACAAAGAGGAAGACGAGCGCACCACACAGCACCACCTGCACGCGAGAAGGGAGGGCGAGAAGGGAGGTGGGCGGACGTATGGGTCGAGGGAAGGAGGGATGGGGGCGCACGAAGGAATGGTGGGGGAGGTTAGGAAGAGAGGGAGGGATGGAGGAACGCAGGAAGGTTGAGAGCGCATGGAGGGGGAAGGATGGAGGGAGGGGTGGAGGGAGGGGCGGAGGGAGGGGCGGAGGGAGGGGCGGAGGGAGGGGCGGAGGGAGGGGCGGAGGGAGGGGCGGAGGGAGGGGCGGAGGGAGGGGCGGAGGGAGGGACGGAGGGACGGAGGGACGGAGGGACGGAGGGACGGAGGGAGGGAGGGAGGGAGGGAGGGAGGGAGGGAGGGAGGGAGGGAGGGAGGGAGGGAGGGAGGGAGGGAGGGAGGGGGGGAGGGGGGGAGGGAGGGAGGGAGGGATTGAGGGAGGGAGGGAGGGAGGGGGGGAGGGAGGGAGGGGGGGAGAGAGGGAGGGGGGGGAGGGAGAGAGGGAGGGATTGAGGGAGGGAGGGAGGGATGGAGGGAGGGAGGGAGGGAGGGAGGGAGGGAGGGAGGGAGGGAGGGAGGGAGGGAGGGAGGGAGGGAAGGATGGCGACGGATGGAAAGAGGGAGGGATGGGAGCATAGATGGGGAAGGGTGGAGGGAGGAGGGCGTGGGAAGGGAGAAGGTGGCGAGGGGGGGTGAGGAGAGGCTGTGTGGGTAAAGGGAAGGGCGAAGGGGAGAAGAGGGGGGGTTGTGGGAGGAAAGAGAGGGGTGTGTGTGTGTTTGGAGGAGCGGGTGGAGGGGTGTAGGAAGCCAAGAGAATGTGGATAGTGCACAGGTTCAAAGGGGATGGGGGGAAGCGACAATGCATGGAAAAAAGCTGGAGAACAAAAGAGAGATATGACGGCGAGAAATTGAAAAGGCAGCGATCGGACGGACCAGAACGACGCAGAGGATGAAGGTCTGGAAGCGGCATTTCAGCAGCCGCCTCACGAGCGAGCGACTCTTCTTGCTCTTTCGCGAACGCGACGTGAGCGACGAGTCGCCGATCCCTCGCATGGACCCTTGCGGCGACGACCCTGCTGCCGTCCATAATCGCCCCGCCCCGCGACTGCTGGCGGAGCCCGCTTTCATGGCTGCAATGCGATCGCTGCGACGGCTATGCGACGGCTGCGATGGTTGCTCTAACAGCAGTGGCTGCGGAATATGTTCACGATGGGGAATTCTAATGCAACGGATAATCGCGTTCGATTTCGGCAGTTGATGAAGCTCGTGGACGACGCGACGGCGCAACGACTTAAAGAAAGTCGGGCATTCGGGTTGGCAAATAAAGCAACGAACGCGGATCTGTTGGAAAGTACGGGCAGGTAATCACAACGCGAACAGCCCTAACGACGGCAAGCCATTGCGATCAACGATCACGATTCGCCGCTAACTAGTCTTGGGACAAGAGCACTGTATCGTACAGCACTGGAAAAGTCGTACTGACGCGGGCTGTTGTGTGGTCCTAGCTGAATGAATCGGCTTGACTGGGCTCACTCGGTCACAAACATCTAGCGGATGCTTCTCAAGCGTCCGCGGTAAAAGCGTAAGCAGGAAAAAGAGCCAGTGTTTAGACCCTTCATGGTGTATTTCTCCATACGCAGAATATTGCAACTGACCCGTTACCGCGGTGTCGTTTGAGTGCGTGGCTTTCTCTATAGCGGAGATCGGGGTGACCGAGGCACGGTGTTCGTTCGGTTCGCCCCCCGCGCGCGACGATCTCGCCCTCAAGCGAGAGCGCAACACCTTGCTTCGGCGGAACACTTAAAGTTCAGTAGTTCAGAAAGGTACTGAATACGTTTTGTAGCGGCACAAAGCGGTTCATTTTGCACTCTGAGTGCGCGAGTGCATGCACACGCCCAAATGTTCGGGAGAAGCAGGACGCGAAAGCCCAACGACCCTGGACTTGTGCGCGGAATCGCCTTGCTTCCGCTTTCCGCGCATGCGCGCAGCTCACAGCCTCCTTGCATTTGATCCTTCCCGCTCGTCCGAGGAATACGGCATAGTAGACCGGACCTACAACACAGCCGCTCGCAGCTGGTATTGGTGGAGGAGAACACGCAGTATTTATACGCGTGCCTCGTCTAGCTGGGATCGGCTAGTCTCCTCGGCAATACATATTGTTGCCCCTTTGCAAATAGCAAAGCTCGAGCTAATAAGTCTTTTGCGCGTGCGTTCCTGCTCGTCTGACCTGCCGTAACTACACTTCGTCTCTGCTCGGTCGCTTAGTTCCTACTTTTTTTCTGCTCGTCCAGTCAGCCGTTTGTAGCCTTATTCCCTGCGCAGCGTGCATTTGCTTTCAGCGGGCAGTAAGCTCTGTAACTCTGCCGGCATTTCCGTGAATCAATCGCACCCGGCTGTGATCTTGGGTATTAGCGGCTGAAATCGCACCGGAAAATGCGGCAGGAGCCCGGCAAGAGTGCGAAGGACGCCACCATTCCAAGTGCGAACGATTTCGGATCGCAACCGAGTAACCAGCTCGCCTCGCCACCTTCGCCAAACGATTTCGCCGCAGTGAAGGATTTCACGGCTGGGGTCGCTGCAGGGGTGGCTCTCGTCGTCACCGGACATCCGTTCGATACCGTCAAGGTCAGGATCGGACGGCTGTGAGAGTTTCAGGCCTTGGATTGCCGTGAGGCGCAAGTGCGAAGGGTAGGCGGGATCGGACGATCGTGATTGAACGGCGGGCGTGCAACTGGCGGTGTCGATGTGACCTTCGCATATCAGAACCCACCCTCATTTTCCATCCATTCGTCCCTCCCTTCGTACCTCATTCTTCCCCGTTCACCCCATCCCTCCGCATTCTTCCATCTCAACTCATCCCGCCCATTCACTCATCCTCTTCCCAATTCGTCTCATCCTCGCAGGTCAAGTTGCAAGCTAGCAACGTCAGCAACGGCACATCGCCCGCGTCGCACGCGTCGCTAGGGGCTCCGCGGTATCGCTCGGCATGGCAGTGCACGTCGCACATTCTCCGCACTGAAGGGGTGAGCCGCATGTCCCCTTCGTTTTAGGGCCTTCATTCCGTTATAAGCCCCATGCACGGTGCACAGCCCCTCCGCGCACCCCACCGCGCACACCTCCTCGCACACCATTGCGCAACCCTCAATAAATTCGCGCGTGTGCTGTTCCCCGCCTTTTTCCCTCAGATCCCTGGCCTATACCGCGGTGCCACGTCATCCTTCATCGGCGTCGCAGTGGAGAGCTCCCTGCTGTTTGGCTCGTACACTCAAATAAAGACCGCCCTCCAGGTAACTACCCCCAGACAAGTAATTTTGTCCCAGGCAACTGCCCCCTGTATCAGTGTTAAGGGCAGCATACCAATACTGAGGCCCGGGTACCAACGCTGAGGCGCAGGCACCAATGCTGTCGCCTGTTGCCCATGTCTCTCAGCCGCTCCTCTCCCCTCCCCTCTCCTCCTCCCCCTCCCCTCACTTCCCTCCCTCCTCCCCCACTCCCTTCCCGTCCTCCTCTCCTCCTTCCTTGTCTGTCCTCCTCTCTCTCCCCCCTTGTTTCCTCTCTCGCCCCTCGCCCTTGTCTCAGAACGGGGAGCGGTCGGCACCCACAGCAGGCACGGTGGCGACAGCAGCAGGGCTGGCGGGCGGGCTTATCAGCTTCGTGCTCTGCCCCACGGAGCTTGTCAAGGTGCGTTGGAAGCGAGTAGGCGCGTGGCGTGTGCATGCATGACCGTCCTGTGTGTTTGGCGTTGTCCTGCATCCAATAGTGCCTTGTCGGCCTCGAATGCCACAAGTGGATCGTGCTCATCTTATTTGAAAGAGCATCTCCTCCCTGTTGTTCGTCTGTTCGTCTGTTGTTCGTCTGTTGTTTGTCTGTTGCAGTGTCGCCTGCAAGTGCAAGCCCAGTCTCCAGCTCTCGCACCCGCCGCCTCTGTATATACTGCAGCAGCAGCGGCAGCAACAGCAGGAGCAGCACCAACAGCAGCGGCTGCAGCGGGTGCCTCTAAGTGTGTCCCTGCCATGACTCGCCTGACCCCTTCGTTTGCCGCTGCTGCTCACCCCGCCCCCTTCAGTACAGCAAGCGCTGCCTTCCCCTCCCTAGCACGCACCCCAGCAACATCAGCAGCAACAGCAGCAGCAGCTACAGCTGCAAAAGCAGCCCAACGCCAGCAGATCCATTCGCAATCGCCTCTGCAACAGCAAGTTTTGATGCAGCAGCAGCATTTTCAGCAGCAGCAACAGCAACAGAAGCAGCGGGTGGTGGGGGGTGTGGGTCACTACAAGGGCCCGTGGGATTGCGTGGTTCAAACCGTCAAGGCCGATGGGGTAAGGCGTGTGGGATCGAGCCTGGTTGTGAGAGTGAGTGGGTGAGTGGGTAGACCATTGAGTGGGTGAGTGGGTAGACCATTGAGTGGGTGAGTGGGTAGACCATTGAGTGTGATCGGGCAGTATGGAAGGCTGTTTGTTCCGTTTCAATTGCTGCTGTAGTGAATCCCTCCTCCTTATTTTCCCCCCTCTTGTCTCTCTGTCTCAACCTTCACCCCGTCTTTCACATTTCAGCCGCAGGGGTTGTTCAGAGGCCTGGCAGCGACAGCACTGAGGGAGTCGCTGGGCAACATTGGCTTCTTTGTCACCTACGAGGCCATCAAGCACCGCCTCCTCCCCGCCCTCGCCCCCTCCTCTCCCTCGCACTCCTCTCCCTCTTCCTCCTCCTCCTCCGCCTCCTCGGACCTCTCACGTGAAAGTGTGCACGGGAGATTGGGTCAAGACATGGGGCCAGAACATGGGGTGTTGGGGGGGAGGGAGGCAGAGGTAGCAGGCGGGGCGAGTGAGTGGCGAAGGGTGGCAGCTGAGGCTGCTACTGCCATTGCCAGTGGGGGAATAGCAGGCATCGTGGTGAGTCTAATGCCCGCCCTCAGTTTGCTGCTTTGGCCCGTACCGACCATCCTTGGATTGTTTGTTTGTTTGTTTTGTTTTTTTTTCCGGGTTTTTTTTTGTTTTTGTTTTTGTTTTGTTTGTTTGTTTGTTTTTTTTTTTTTTTTTGTATTTGCATTTGCATTTGCATTTTCCCTTCGATTTTTTGTTCCACGCCATCTCCTTAATGCTGCATCAGCTGCTTATTGCAGTGTTGCCCCACTTGGCCCAATCATGTCCTGCATTCAGGGCGTCCCTAACCTTCCCTTCCCCCCCCTCCTCTCCTTCCCCTCCTCCCTCCTCCGCTACCCACCCCTCTTCCCCACGTGTCCCCGCACATCAGTTCTGGTCGGCAGTGCTCCCATTTGATGTCATCAAGACGCGCATTCAGACGGCAGACGCGTCAGCTTCGCCCGAGTCGCTGCGCATGCTCAGCCAGTGCAAAGCTGTGAGTGATCCTGCCCTTTGATCTTAACTATTCTCCAATGCCCTCTCTGCTGCCCCAGCATTCTGCCGCTCGCTCTCGCTGCTTTCCGGCGGTCTTGAATTTTGTCTCACGTCTAATTCCACACCTTGCCCCATGTTCGGTTCGGTACTGTTCCTGTTTCAGATCCTAAGGGAGAGTGGCGTCAGGGGGTTCTACGCCGGTCTCCTGCCCACACTCACTCGAGCCTTCCCGGCCAATGCTGCGGCTGTTGTTGCCTGGGAGCTCACCTCAAGGCTGCTAGGAGTGTCCAACCCTTGACTCCATTGAATTCAGCTTCGAAACCGACTCAAAGCAGCATTTCATGCCCAATGCTGCGGCTAGTGTTGACAGAACGCTGACCTTCAGGTTGCCTGGGGCGTCAGTGACATTGTAGCAACCCTTCATACCATATTTAGAGCCGAGTTCTCAAATGTGTTTTGAGGGCCTACACTATATTGCTTGTAAATCTAATATATATAACACAGAAACTGGTAAAGCTGCTGAAGACACTCCCCATAGTAAATACAGGTCCTGGCCATACATAGAATTGATAGGCATAGAATAGACAGACTGACTGATAAATTAGACTTTGCCATACACAAAGCTGGCATCAACAAAGGCCCAGCTCTGGCAGGAAAAAGAAACAGCACCCAGCAAGCTCTGCAAGCTCTGTATCACAGCAGGCCCCCCACAGGGTCCATTGGACTAGCAGCGGCAGCAGGAGCAGCAGAAGCTGAAGCTGCATCAGGCACGGATGAGCCCAAGACTGAAAGCAGATCTCCCCCCAGCAGGTCCCCTCCGGCTGCTGCTGCTGCAGCTGGGGCGGCAGAGGATGCAGGGGCCATGGGTACTGAGGCAAACACGTCTCCGAACGGGTCTACTATCGGCACTGCCGCTGCAGCTCCTGCTGGGGCTGATGCTGTTGTTCCTGCTCCTGCTGATGATGACGATGAGACTCTGTCTGCTACCCCGTTACCCAACGACACTCCTGAGGCCGCACCGCCAGTGCCACCACCAGTGCCAGCGCCAGTGCCACCACCAGTGCCAGCGCCAGTGCCAGCGCCAGTGCCAGCGCCAGTGCCAGCGCCAGCAGCAGCGCCAGCAGCAGCGCCAGATGCAACGGTGCTCCAGAGGTCAGAGAGAGCGTCTGGCTTCTTGCTGCTCGTGGATCCCAAGGGAGAGGCTGTCCACGTGGCAGCCAGCCCGCCCATCCCGCCTCCCCCAGCCGCCCCCTTCCCCCCCGCCCCCGCTGCTCCCACTCCTGCCAGCCCCAGCGCCCCTGGGCCTACAGCTGCTCCCGCTGCACCACCACCAGCAGCAGCAGCGGCGGCAGCGCCGGCAACGGGAACGCCGGTAGGAGGGGCTTCCTTGAAAGAGGCTTGGATGGAGACGGGCGGCGGGATGGTGACGGAGTAGACGCCAGAGACGGACGGTGTGGGCGCGGGGGCGGATGGGGTGAGCAGCCAGGGGGGTGGCGCGGGGGTGAAGGTGGGGGAGAGGGCTACTGTGGGGGGGCCTGAGTAGGCGGGGGCTTTGGGGGCGGCGGTGACTGGGGAGGGGGAGGAGGAAGAGCCGAGGAGCATTGAGGCTAAGTCCCCGCCCTTTGATACCTGCGGAGATGCCCGTAAAGCGGGGGGAGGAATGGGGAGAGAGGACGGGGCGGGGGAGGTTGATGGAGGGACCGAGGGGGAAAATTTGTAGTGGCAAGCGAGTGCAAGGGGAGGGAAGGTGAGGGATCGAGCAGGGCTCTGACACAGCTGGCATGAACGCGGGGACGAGAACCATGAACGATTGGAAGAGAATCACGGCGACTCACAGAGGCGAGGGAGTAGCCGCTGCGCTGGTCCTTGAGGCTGGCCCCCGCTGCCTTGCCCGGCGCTCCTCCGATGCCGAAGTCGAACTCATAGTTCTGCCAGACACGCACCCACCCACCGCACGGAGTGAACAGTGCAGGTTGTCAGATCAGCGTCACGGATCAATTTAACAGATCAATTTTAGCTCGAAGACAGCTCAAGGCCACGGAATCCCGAACTATGGCACTCATGTCATGTATTCCCCTCCGTCCTGGTGCTAAATGAGTGTTTGTTTGAAGAGTAATGTCTGGGCTTTCGAGATTTTAACTATACTGTTTTTAGTCCCGTAGCGAGCGCACCTGTAGCGGAGCCGCGGCAGTAAGGACATTGATGGTCTTCTGCTGTTGCTCCTTTGACGCTGCCGTCGCCATATCTTACTCGTGAAAGTAACCCTTGAAAATGAAACAAAGAGGAATCCCTGGAACGATGCACGGACCGTTGTAATGCGAGAGAGAATCACAGAAAAAACTGTTCGAAAGGAGAGGACGACGGATGTGAAAACTGGTTCTGGGCTTGAGAAAAAAATCTCTCGAGAAATGCGGGCGAAATTGTGAAGAGTTGGTGATACAGATTGATGCTGGGAGGTTCTCGAGTTTGGTGTGAGAGGTGTGCCGTCGCAGGCGAATTGATCGTGGCGACGGGTAACTGGATTCTCTAGTCGCAAGGACCAGGGTAGATTGATGTTACGAGTGCAATTGAGTGAGCGAGCGAGAATTGCACTATCGAAGCAAGAGTACAATGAGCGAAGGTGTGAGCGAAGAATATATAGCAAAACTACAGTGGTAACGGTAATGGACTGTGGTCGCGCGACGGGCCTGGGACTGAGGTTTGGGAAAGTGTCGAAGCGGAGGCCCGGAGCGCGGGTTACCCGCCGAGCCGTGAGGTCGGGGTGCGACGTGCGAAGGCGGCAGGAGGATTGTCGATGCGAGAGTTGCGAGTGCTAACGGTGCTGACTGTGGTGCTACAGTGGTGTACGCGCTGAGCGGGGACGTGAAGTAAAGGAAAGGAATTTTCCTTACACTACCCCCCCCCCCCCCCCTAAAGAGGTCCTCCTTTACAAATGTGCGTGTACATTCATGAAGTTTCGGCTGCGCAGATACTCAGTGAGGACGGGGTGGTTTTCGATTCTGTCCAGGGGAACCCAGTTGTCTTCGGTGGGTGTAGGGTCTTTCCAGCGGAGCAGGAACTCGATCCTTCGGGCTCCTCGAGGGTCGCGAACTCTGTTACTCAGAATCTTCTCGGGGGTGATGATTGGTTCAGTCGGCGGTCGTGTCATGTTGGCTGGGCGATTATGTGGGAGTTGGCTTGTAGACGGGACGTAGGGGCGAAGTAGGCTGACGTGGAACGAGGGGCTGACGTACCAGTCAGCGGGGAGGAGGTGGGCGGTGACGGGCGTAATCATGTGGCTAATGCGAAATGGCCCGCAATATCGGGGGCGAAGTTTTGGGGTGATGGGCAGTCGGAGGTTCTGAGTGTCGAGTAGAACTAGGTCGTCAGGTTGGTAAGTGACAGGTCGGCGGTGGCGGTCGGCATTACGTTTAGCGATGATGTTGGACTTTTTTATTGCGTCTGCTGCCCGGGTCCGTGCTGTTAAAATAAGCGAGAGTGAGCTAAGTAGTAACTAGGGCCTAGGCTTAGAAGCCTAGGCCCAACTTAGGTATCGAGTGGGTTTTGCCTAGGGAGGGGAGAGTCGAGAAAAGTTGGAAAGGTAAAAAGGTGGGTTTCACTATAGGTTCAAGGAACATATAGCATAGGAAACACAAGCAAGAGGTGCACCACCTACAGATTTAAATAACTACACTAACTACAGCTACAGGCAGTTACATAATATAAGTTCTGACACTCCCCCATAACTGCCTGCAGCAGGAGTTTGTGTAGAATACAACCTGCAGGTGTACACATGCAAAATAATAAAGAACAAGCAACAGCAGGAACTGCAGGCGAGCTGACACAAGTAGGTCACCCCCTCCATCTTCTCACCCTCCTCCTTCCCCTCCCCCACATTGCTGCAGGAGCAGCAGAGAGGGGGGGGAGAGAGGAGAGGTGGAGGGACGGCTGCTGGTTGCCTCACACCCGCCACCCCGGCGCCTCTCCCCCTGCTCCCCCACACCCTCACACCCTCCCCCCCAGCGGCAGCTGCAGCAGTGGGAACAAAAGGAGGAGGAGGGGAAGGGAAGGGTACGACCCACAACTCCAACACCCGCCACCCCCATACCCTCCCCCCCACGGCTGCAGGGAGATGAAGGAGGAGGGGGTGGGCGGGAAGAAAGCCGCAGAGCGGCTAGATAGGGTCGATGCAGGTAGGTCAGGGGCAGCTGCAGGGAATGCAGGTGCGGAAAGCACCGTCGCAGGCGCCAAGGGCGGGTCCGCGGCGGCTCAAGGGCACCGCCGCGGGCGCCAGGGGCGGGTCCGCGATGGCGCAGGGCACCGCCGCGGGCGCCAGAGGCGGGTCCGCGGGCGCCAAGTGCACCGCCGCGAGCGCCAAAGGGGGGTCCGCGACGGCAAAGGGCACCGCTGCGGGCGCCAGAGGCGGGTCCGCGGGCGCCAAGTGCACCGCCGCGGGCGCCAAAGGGGGCGGGTCCGCGACGGGTAGAAAAGTAAAACGTCACGCGCCCGAGGCGCGTGACCAGAAATCCAGCAGCGGAAGAATTGGGCGGGCCCACAGGCCAGGACGAAACTGCTCTGATAACCATGTTAAAATAAGCGAGAGTGAGCTGAGTAGTAACTAGGGCCTAGGCTTAGAAGCCTAGGCCCAACTTAGGTATCGAGTGGGTTTTGCCTAGGGAGGGGAGAGTCGAGAAAAGTTGGAAAGGTAAAAAGGTGGGTTTCACTATAGGTTCAAGGAACATATAGCATAGGAAACACAAGGAAGAGGTGCACCATCTACAGATTTAGACAACTACACTAACTACAGCTACAGGCAGTTACATAATATAAGTTCTGACACGTGCTGCTTGTAATATTTCGGCGAACTGTTGTGCTCGTGGCGCTGGGTTGTCGGGATTCGGGGTCATGGGTACTGTTGGGTCTTGTCCGTAGTTTAGGTAAAACGGTGACTGTTGGGTCGTGGCGGATGGTGAGTTGTTGTATGCGAATTCGATGAGTGGCAGCTGTTGTTCCCAGGTGGTTGGGTCGTCGCACGTGGCTCGGATGAGTTGCTCCATGGTCTGGTTTGTCCGTTCTGTTCGTCCGTCAGTTTCGGGGTGGTACGAGGAGCTGAACTGTAGTCACGTGCCGAACTGCTGCCACAGGTTCCGCCACAAGTTGCTGGTGAATTTCGTGTCGCGGTCGCTGATTATTGCTGCTGGTATCCCGTGCAGTCGAACGACGGTGGAGATGAAGAGGCGTGCTGTTTCTTCGGCTGTGATTGATTTTTTGCAGGCTGCGAAATGTGCCATTTTCGTTAGTCGAACGACGACGACCAGG